AATATTTTTGGCATGTTTCTCCCCATTTCTTTTGTAAAAAAACAAATGATCTATTCCAATGTGTTCTTTGAGTCAGTCAAATTTAGATGAGTAATTTAAAAAATGTTTTAAACTTATGCAAATTAGTAGAAATTTGCATAGTAAGTCCAACGTACTTTCGTTAACTCCTCCCGGCCGTCAAACTCAATCACATCAAAACTTTCCCTGACAAGAGAGGAGGAGCGGCTGACCAAAAGATGTGAAGGGATTTTCGATAATTTGCTTATTTTTTTAAATATGATTTTTTTAAATAATTTTTTGGGAATGAAAAAGTTTTTTTAGCGTAACTTCAAGAGATTTTGACATTTTTCAAAGCTGTTCATAACAGTCATACCTAAGGTCAATTCAAGTGTATGTCCTGGTTTTCAACTTGATTAAACAATAGGGGGCGCTATAACTGGGAAGAAATTATACTGCTGAACCGGCTAAATGGATCGGCACGAAACTTAGTGGCTGTCATCACTATAAAGTCTTAAGACTACATTATCAATATGGTAATGATTGATCAAAGTGGGCGTGGTTTATGATCATTTAAAATTTCAAATTTGAAAAATTTCCTAAAAATCACTATTTGCATGTAAGAGGCTAAGATTTCCAGATTGTGTTAAATGAATAGGCTAGAGCTTATGTCACGAAAGCCGCAGCTCCACAAAGAGGTTTGCGCTTTATATTTACGAAAATACGTTTTTAGGCTAGCAATTGTAGCGCAAATTCTGTTCTCACAATCTTCTTGTAATTTGCCACAAAGTTCACTCTTAGGTGGGTTATGAAACAAAAAAAATGTCGTCTTGATTTGAGCTCCCCCTAGTGTTTAATTATAGGACATATTTTTGTCTACAGCCACTAATGCAAGTATTATTTTATTGTAAGTACAGTTTTACATTTATGACCCAAACAAAAATATAAGAAGAATTCTCACATCACAGAGGCAACCTGGGAATATTTTGAGATTTCTGTACAAAAGCGTATATTTTTAATGAATTTTTAACTTTTTACCAGTTTTTCTGTATATTTGGACAACAACGTAATTAATTTTTGTTAGAAAGCTTTTTAGGTATACAGTAAATATAAGCCATTTATAACATCCCACATGTACCTATGGTGATCTGAGATTTTTCTCCTAATTTTAGAAAGTAGCACTATTTTTTTATGAATATTTTTATTTTTGTTGTGACCTTTATAGTTATATTTCCCAATGTTTCTTCAAAAAAGCTTTGAGTCTACTGATTTAAAAACAACATCATATTATTCCGCATGTTAACACTGCCATGTGAGAATATTTTGGTAATTTTAGGATGATTTATGTATTTTTCATGATTTTTTAAAACATTTGTTCAGTAAGTCACAAAATGAAACTCATAGTTTTTGTTGAAAATCTTTTAAATCTAAAGACATTATCAAGTGTTTATGTTATTGGTAATATTCTGTTGATGTATAGATCATTGTTTGATAACCTCACTCATTAAATCTTCACGTTCTTTAATAAGGAAACAGTGGAATTCCATTGTAATCACGATTGAGGAGTCAGCCATGCCTCTGAAAGATATGTGTATAGGCTTTGCAGGTTTAATGACGTATCCTGAGTGTTACTTTCATTGCGCCGGTTGAAGTGAGCTGACGAACGCCGGCGGGAGAACGTGTTTTTGGGGCAGGACCGCGTGAGGACTGGCGAAGTGGAGGGCAGGGCCGGGTAGGCGACTGGCGCTGGGGGCTTGGAACCCGTTGATAACTGCTTGCAGTTCTAGTTATTTATTATTCTTCTCCGCTACGTTTGTATGGGGGCAGGAGCCAGAAATTGCCAGGAAAAATCTGACATGGCAGTCTGATACAAAATCCTGACCGCTACTCAGATTCGAAAATTTGGACCCCGCGTCACCTAGGTGGCGCTATTGCGGAGGTCAACACGTTTCAGCTACTAGCTCCCAAACCGTAGGTCCTACAGTCATAAACTTTATATGTACATGATCCTTGGTTGATTCTCCATCTTTTTTGTATTGGCCACGCCCATTTCCGCCTAACTAGATTTTTTGCTAGATCGCAAAAAACTCAAAACTTACTTTTAATCACCTATTCGTCATTTTTCGTCGAATCAACTTCAAACTTCGTACATATGATCTATGGACTAAGATAAGTTGTGGTGATGAAGAAAAAGGCAGAAATATTGAAAATTGGGCTAATGACACCATGTCAAAATCAGTGTGCTAGCTAGCACATGTGGTAATTGATTATATCTTCACCATTTCTCAAGATAAATTGATGAGACTCTACACCCTTATGAAGTATGAGCGGTAAGCCCTATCTACCCGATTTTGTGTGGATTCACCAATAGGGGGCGCTAAAGAGTCAAAAAGTTTGTTTCAGCTAAACGGCTTGATGGATTTCCACAGAACTTGGCACATATGTTAATCATCGGACCCTTAAGCTATATTTTGAAAATGATTAAAAAGTGGGCGTGGCTTATAGGGTATAAATAGGCTTTAAACGTTTTCGCCCATTTACTCCTGAAAAATACATATTCTATACAGAAAATTACAATTCATATCAGTCATAATGACATCTACAATCACAGAAAATTTTTTGAATTTTGTCCAATAGGTGGCGCTGTGGTACCCCAAAAATATTTTTGGCATGTTTCTCCCCATTACTTTCGTAAAAAAACAAATGATCTCATCCAGTATGTTCATTGAGTCAGTCAAATTTAGATGAGTATTTTAAAAAATGTTTTAAACTTATGCAAATTAGTAGAAATTTGCATAGTAAGTCCAACGTACTTTCGTTAACTCCTCCCGGCCGTCAAACTCAATCACATCACATCTTTCCCTGACAAGAGAGGAGGAGCGGCTGACCAAAAGATGTGAAGGGATTTTGGATAATTTGCTTATTTTTTTTAATATGATTTTTTTTTTAAAATTTTGGAGAATGAAAAAGTTTTTTTAGAGTAACTTCAAAAGATTTTGACATTTTTCAAAGCTGTTCATAACAGTCATACCTAAGGTCAATTCAAGTGTATGTCCTGGTTTTCAACTTGATTAAACAATAGGGGGCGCTATAACTGGGAAGAAATTATACTGCTGAACTGGCTAAATGGATCTGCACGAAACTTAGTGGTTGTCATCACTATAGAGTCTTAAGATTACATTATCAATATGGTAATGATTTATCAAAGTGGGCGTGGCTTATGATCATTTAAAATTTCAAATTTGAAAAATTTCCTAAAAATCATTATTTGCATGTAAGAGGCTAAGATTTCCAGATTGTGTTAGCTGGATAGGCTAGAGCTTATGTCACGAAAGCCGCAGCTCCATGTTGAGGTTTACGCTTTATATTTATGAAAATACATTTTTAGGCTAGCAATTGTAGCGCAAATTCTGTTCTCACAACCTTCTTGTAATTTGCTACAAAGTTCACTCTTAGGTGGTTTATGAAACAAAAAAAATGTCGTCTTGATATGAGCTCCCCCTTGTGTTTAATTTTAGGACATATTTTTGTCTACAGACACTAATGCAAATATTATTTTATTGTAAGTACAGTTTTACATTTATGACCCCAACAAAAATACAAGAAGAATTCTCACGTCACAGAGGCAACCTGGGAATATTTTGAGATTTCTGTACAAAAGCATAGATTTTTAATTAATTTTTAACTTTTTACCAGTTTTTCTGTATAGTTGGACAACAACGTAATTAATTTTTGTTAGAAAACTTTTTAGGTATACAGTAAATATAAGCCATTTACAACATTCCACACGTACCTATGGTGATCTGAGATTTTTCTCCTAATTATAGAAAGTAGCACTATTTTTTTATGAATATTTAAATTTTTGTTGTGACCTTTATAGTTATATTTCCTAATTTTTCTTCAAAAAAGCTTTGAGTCAACTGATTTAAAAACAACATCATATTATTCCGCATGTTAACACTGCCATGTGAGAATATTTTGGTAATTTTATGATGATTTATGTATTTTTCATGATTTTTTAAAACAATTGATCAGTAAGTCACAAAATGAAACTCATTGTTTTTGTTGAAAATCTATTAAATCTAAAGACATTATCAAGTCTTTATGTTATTTGTAATATTCTGTTGATGTATAGATGATTGTTTGATAATCTCACTCATTAAATCTTCACGTTCTTTAATAAGGAAACAGTGGAATTCCATTGTAATCACGATTGAGAAGTCAGCCATGCCTCTGAAAGATATGTGTATAGGCTTTGCAGGTTTAATGACGTATCCTGAGTGTTACTTTCATTGCGCCGGTTGAAGTGAGCTGACGGGACGCCGGCGGGAGAACGTGTTTTTGGGGCGGGACCGCGTGAGGACTGGCGAAGTTGAGGGCGGGGCGGGTGGGCGACTGGCGCTGGGGGCTTGGAACCCGTTGATAACTGCTTGCAGTTCTAGTTCAGAGTTGTTTTTATGCGTAAACCTACACACTCACTTGGTTCTGGCTCTAATCTTGTTTCTGGTTTTCACTTCAAACATTTTGCTTACACATGCACACAAAGAGTTTGTCAGCTTTGCAGACAAAGCAGCTGGTGAGCTTGGAGACAGACTTCAATTAGTTTTCACTTCCAGGAAAAATACTTCCAGAGCTTGAAAGCCCTATTGATTACCCCTTATGATAATAACAGCTACAAGGCATTTTTAATTCAAACTGTCGCTGCAGGAACTGTAAAGTTTTGCAGATAAATAGAGTTTCTCTAGTGAAGTGTGTGTTATTTAATATATTTACCAAGGAAAGGTTCTCAGTCCTTAGTCTGTTTATTGAATTTCATCTGTTTACTTTGTTCTCCTCTTTCTTGTCATGATTTGTTTTGGGGCTTTTGTTCTGTAACCACTTTAATACTCGGGGACATCAGCTTTTCTGCTCATTGCTACTGAATTAGCTCCATCTAGAAATGTGGGCTCTTAGGTTTCCCTATCTAATTACATCGACCCCACTGTTCATTTCTTTTTCTACAGACGAGGACTGAATCCGCCCCACAGAGTCAAATCCATCTCTATGACAACCTTTACGCAACAGGAAATTGAGTTCCTACAGAAGCACGGCAATGAGGTAAGAATGGGGAACTCTTGCTCCAGCACATAACACATTTGTGATTCATATTCATTTTAAAGAGACACTGTGCAACTTTTTTATATTTTAAATAATTTTCTTGAGCCAGTATGTGCTTAAATGACCCTTTACAGGGTTAATGAAAGGCCACCCAGCCCCTATTGCCCCTGTGGCCAGAATATTCCACTTGCAACTTCAGAGTTGCCCGTCGGTCTGTTGTGTCTTAGACCAACATACCTAGTGCTGCAGGCTGCTTTCAGCCATTTTCTGCATCCTTTAGATCACGAACACAGCTGATTTGTTTAATTTAGTGATGAACCACTCCTGTAGCCACTAAGGAAGGCTGGGAAGACATTTCAGCTGTTGGATTAACGCACAGCCAGATCAGTTTAGCTTTCGGTTCTACTAAGCAAACACTAGGGGGTGCTAAAAGCAAGCCAAACCTGCCTAGTCTCCCTTTAATTTAACTACAGTTTCATCTGGTTTAGTTTGATATTCTGTAGAAAAATAATCCTACAAACTAAATGTTATTTTAGACCTGTAATTATTGAATAAATGAAATTCTGTCTTTAATGCAGCAAACTTACAAAAAAACTAAACAAAAGATATTTGTCGATTATAAAAGAGTTGCTTTATGGAAGCAAGCTCCTACTTATCTGTTTTAATTTGATGGACAATGATTTAATATGCAGAGCAACCAAAGTCCATCAAGTTCATCATCACCCAAGAGACATTTTTGATAAACGGAGTATAAAATAGTGCAATGCCACCAGGGAAGTATGGTCTAATAAAAGCTGTAGCAAATAGCCAGGCAGGCAGACAAGCAGGAGACTCGAGGTTGGATCTGCAGCTAATTTCCTTCAAGGCTGTTGAACAAATATTTCTGCAGCAAATAGATTTTTTATCTCTACATTATAAGCAACTGAATACAGTAAAAATCTGATTCATCAGGGAAAATTGAATGAATGAGTTTTGTATATAGCTCTCTGTCCTGAGAAAACACTCATACAGCCTTTATGGCTTTCATTACAAGATTAGACAAATACTCAGGAATGCTGTCCAAAGCCAGTGAAAGTCGACTTATTTAACACCCCGTAACTTTGTTGAACCAATCTCCATGTTTTAACTCCTTGATGTCAGACAAGAGAAATGTAATCTGAGGGTTAAAACATGAAAACCTTTGCTTATCTGTAGTTTCTCTCCTTTCACCAAACACTTTGGCTTGTTTTAACAAAGGCTTCAGTGAGACTTCAGACTCTGAGTCGTTTCTTGGTTTTTTGTTGTTGTTACAGGCATGTAAACAGATTTGGCTCGGACTTTATGACGATAGAACCACATCAGTACCGGACTTCAGAGAACCACAGAAAGTCAAGGAGTTCCTTCAAGACAAATACGAGAAGAAGAGATGGTAAGTGTGTTTCACTGAGATGTGCTTTCTGAGCACTGTGCTGACACGTTTTTATCTTCCTGCCTTGGAATGTTTCAGAGGCAGCTCGTAGCACTCAGCCTCCAGCGACCAAAGGCTCCTCGTTTAATGTAGGTCACTATAGACAAGCTGCTGTATGTGCATGAAACGGCACCATAAAGTTCTAGGTTTGCTTCAGTCAAATGAGTTTACTGGTCGATGATGTTGGAGTTCAATGTCAAATTTAGAGCAGAGGAGAAAGTGTTGCATGTCTCAATACATGCCTCCATTACAGCCTCAGTCACACAAGCTATCATCCTAAAAAACATTTCTAATATCAGACGTTTAGCACAACTTTACCCCATTATCAAGACTGGAAATGACCGGTGTCAGAGCTTGGTCTGCATTGCCGGCAGTAAGTTGAGCTAGTTTCCAGCGATAGTTTGACTCTGCCAAGGCTGTCCTTTGTCACCGATTCTGTTCATAACTTTTATGGACAGGATTACTAGGTGCAGCCAAGGTGTTGAGGGAAACCGTTTTGGTGGCCTAAGGATCAGGTCTCTTCTTAAGACCATGGTCTTCAATCAGAAAAGGGTTCCCCAGGTCAGGGACGAGGTCCTGCCTCAAGTGGAGGAGTTTTGGTATCTCAGGGTCTTGCTCACGAGTGAGAGAAAGATGGAGCGCGATATCGACAGACGGATTGGTGCTGCATCTCCAATAGGGCTGTAGCGAAGCCTCGACGAAGTCGACGGCTCGATTCTAAAAATTTGTCGACGTCAGATCCGGAAGTCGACGCACCGCGCCCACTTGTTGCATCCCCAGGAGTTTGTAAATAGAGGAGGAATCTGCCCGTTTTTCCTCTAGTTCGCCCTCTTCTCCGCCTTCACTAACATCTCCGCCAAATACCGAAGACCCGGAACAACGTCCGTCCACTACTAGATTATTTTCCTGTTTTGCCCCTTCGTCTCCCGGCAACGGACAACAACTTCCGGGGTCAGATGCGCTGCTTCGTGTCTATCGCAGATGTAGAAAATCACCGGGAGCGCTTCTCCCTTCATAAAGGAGCTTCTTTCAGACATTAGGAGAGCTGTTTTGGTGGTAGCAGTCTCTCCTCCGTGCTGGTCTGTTTGCTGCTGGGTGTTTTCGGTTTATTTAAACTTGGTAACTTGAACTTAATGTTGGTAAAGCTACTGTTAGCATATTCGCTAACAGCTTCTTGCGTTGGGATAAGCTGTTACGTTTTGGTTTAGAGTTTACCTTTTTTGTGGTGTAGATCTCCCTTTTATTACATTTAGAGTGTTGTGGGTTTTCGGTTTAGTGTAAAATATCACCTGAGTTTGGTTTAACCCGTAAGACCACTCGCCTCACGCACATAAGTGACCAAAACAAAGCAGCATGGAGACACTCCATCTTCTACCACCTCTCAGGCAGCAGCCTGCACTCCCAAGTTCTACATGTCATCAGAACATAACCAACCAACACAATAAACGCAGTGTTATACAAAATGGAAGGCCTGTAGTGTTTATTCTCTTACAGTAAGAATTTATCAATTTTTTTGAGGAATTTATTTGAGATTTTCTGGTTTTTATTAATTGTGCAATAGAAAAATAATCATTAGATTAATTTTCTAAATAGTCATTAGAATAGTCGACTATTCGATAAAATAATCGTCAGAATAATCGTTTTAAAAATAATCGTTTACCCCCAGCACTAATCTCCAATGATGCGGGCGTTGTACCGATACGTCTTGGTGAAGAGAGCTGCGCCGGAAGGCAACTCTCATCTATAGTCACAGGCTTTGGGTAGTGACTGAAAGAACGAGATCACGGATACAAGCGATCAAAATGAGTTTTCTCCGCAAAGTGGCAGTGCTCTCCCGTTTTGTCGCTTCCTGGGCACCACCATCACCCAAGACCTCAAGTGGGAGCCCACCAACACCTCTGTCATAAATAAAGCCCAGCAGAGGATGTACGTCCTGAGGCAGCTGAAGAAATTCAACCTACCAGCACAGTCGATGAGGCAGTTCTACACCGCAGTCATTGAATCCATCTTCACCTCCTCAGTCACCATGTGGTACGCTGGAGCTACCACCAGGGACAAGAAGAGGCTGCAGTGTGTTGTACACTCTGCTGAGAAGGTCATTGGCAGCAAATTCCCCTCCATACAGGACCTGTACACCTCCAGGACAATGAGGCGTGCAGGTCGGATGATTCTGATTCTTAGAGATAAGGTGTTAAGCTCAATCATGTGGGAGGGGCTCGAAGTAGACTTGCTGCTCCACCAGAGGAGCCAATTGAGGTGGCTCGGGCGTCTGATCAGGATTCAAATTCAAATTCAAAGATACTTTATTAATCCCAGAGGGAAATTAGAGTTTCAGTACACACAATTCTGAGATCAGACATACATACATAGGCATAGACACATGATAAGAATTGGTGACTGTGGTCATTCGCAACCCGAGTCGCGCTACCTTAATAGAGATCAGAGGGGTTTACATGAGGATTGGGTCAGGTGGAGGAAAAAAAGGCATTTCAGAGTTACCGTCCACAGGGAGGGCAGCTTTGCTATGCAAAAAACACCTCAGACAGAAATGCAACAGACTTCAGACATCACACAACATAAGTGTCCACTAGGTGGGGAGGTAGGGTTGGGGACTCTCCTCACATCAGTGCATGCAGCCGCGATAAGCAGCGCTCGTCACCTTTGTTTGGACAGGGGAGGGAGGTAAGTGGGTTAGAGAGCACAGTGACTCCTGGAAACGATTCAACGGCCTTCACCGGTCGCAGTCCCGCCCAGGCTGGGATAGGGAGACAGAGTTACCATGGCGACGGCAGCATTCCACATTTCTTCTGAGGGGGTAGTAATTACTACAGCCTCACAGGCTCAAGGGCACCAGATTCAGATAAGAACTTGTTTTGGGGCCAGACAGAGATCATTTCCTCTCTGTCTTAAAGTTCTGTTGATCTCCATCCCCTCTCGATCCAATAATGGCGTAGTTAATCAATCCCAATCCGTGCTGATCCGTCAACTTTATCCTTGATGGCATCAACCTTCTGTGCCAGAGTGAATCTCAGCCAAAGTTCTAAGCTTACAACTCATCTTGACAGTTATGAGTTTGTGCATTCACAGCGTGGTGTAATCCATCCCTGAGCTCCGGGATTGAGCCAATATTCCTCGACAGCTCATTAATTTTCTGGTAAGCCAGCTAACCGCTCAGGCCAAACAGCACGAAACCTGACACCAATACCATGAATATCCAGACGTCTTCAGAATCCTCTATAGACAGTTGAGAGAAGCATATCAGGTTCCACTGTTTCCAGGAGTCCATGATATACCCAACTGGATCTGTTCCCAAGGGGCATCCGGGAGCCCCTTCTCCCGTTATCATCGTTGAAAAAATTTTGTCAATCGCATTGAGAGACCAACTGACCAGGTCCATTTGAATAGTTTCCAGTTTCCAGAAAAAAATGCAGAAGCGCCGTACACCCAAAGACAGACAAAGAGCCTTGTGATATGATAGGGAGGAGAGGAGGAAAAAAAAGCATCTGAACTCTCCAAGAGCCAGAAGAAGAAAGCATCCTGGATTCTTTTTGATAGTGTAACCTAAACAATCTAAACCACTAAATGGTTCCTGAGTGTGGCTGTCTCTGCAGCTCACCACTCCGCCAGGGGATGGATCAAATGCAGAGAACAAATTCCAACTAGTGGGACTTTAACGTGACTTTAACTTTAATCACTTTCTAGGTTTGTACCTCCTGAACAAGCCAAGGCGGTGGCCTCCGTCCACGCCTGCATCTCTGGTTCCTCCAATAGCGGCAGCACCAACAGCACCCCCGAGGTCCGACCGCTCAAAGCTCTGCTGGGAGACTCCGCTCCAGCTCTGCACCTCGGCAAGAGTACACCTCCAAATCAGGTGGACACACTCATACACACACAAGTGAAATAACATTTCTGGTCAAAATTAAATCAAAGAAACTTTAATTTCCAGGATGTAGATCAAATCTCACCATGATTTCATCGGACTGATTTCCACCAAGTGTTTGGTTGTAATTACGTGTTTTTACTCCAGGGCTTTTGTTTTGTAGATTTGTTTGATAATAAATCACTAGATGATGGTCCTAACTTGAACAAAAACTTAGTGAAATCACTTTGAACAGCTGTTTTGGCAGTAAGCACGAACCAGGCATTTATAGTGATAAAGATTCAGCCTGAGGTTGAATTCATGTCTGTTTAAAATGCCAAAACCAAGGTAAGTTTTTTATTTTATTTAATCTTTACAAAGGTATGATCCTTCAGTCCAGCCTTTAAATCTTATTTTTATGTAACTTTTGCAAATCAAAGCACAAAATAAAAAGAAGGACAGTAAAGATGTACAAATGAATTATAAACTGCAGTCAGACGGACGTTACCCATCAGGCTTCTTTGTAAATGTCTCCATTTCCTTTCACGGATGATCTTAAGTGTAGGTAACATATTCAAACCCATCTCGTCTACCAGTCTCCGGTGGTGAGCCGTGGACAAACCCATCCGCAGCAGTTCCACGACAAGAAGTTCGACCTCCTCAGTGACCTGGGTGGAGACATCTTTGCTGCCCCGACCAATGTGAACACGGCTGCCAGCTCCAGCTTTGCTAACTTTGCACATTTCAACAGCCACACAAGTAAGAGACTAATAAATAACTCGGCTAACGATTTTTAAACAAATACAAACTATAATGAAGCAGTTATTACAAACTAGATGTTTATTACAGCAACTGAGTCAAGTTTACATGCAAATCACTTTATTATCAAACTGGATTCCATTAATGGATGCTTTACGCTCAAACCTTTCATTTTAAAGTATACATATTTAGTCTATTTTCCAAATTTGCTGGCCTAAATTTGCTTTTCTGTTAATATAAATCAATCAGACATTTTACTTCTGTGTAACTTGCCTCCTAAAGTCATTCTAAAAAACTCACACAAACGTGGTTCTTTTTACGTATTTAAGTGGTTCTCTAGAAAGTCTGGAGCCAAATGCAGCTCCAGGTGACTCTTAAACTGCAAAGAGGACGTTCAAAGGTTATTTCTATCGTCAAACCTTTTAAATATTGTTAAAAGACAAACAGAAGGAACTAAATTAAACTTGGGAAGGAGTTTCTGAAGGTTGTAGGAACTAGTGAACTCCCTAAAAGACAACAAACGTTTCATGGATTTATCTTCATTTGCTCAAAAGTGCACTAAGAGCATTTGCTTATTCAATATTGAAAGGTGGTAAGAAGTAAGTCACTGTGCTTTGGGTGTCATTTGCTACTTGTTCTTCAGCACAAACACACGACACAGAAAGCCATTACCAGCTGCTGCACCCATAAACTAGCCTGGCCTGCCAGACTCCTCCTCTGTTTAATTCTGCACACAGAAAGAGTCTGGGAACTCTCCTATTCAAATGACCCCACCCCCTGAGAATTCTAACCGAGCCAGTCAGCGCTGAGTAGCGTACGTCACACACCACAATGCCGAGTTTGTCATAAACATGGCGACTGAAGCGGAGTACGCTGCGGCTCTTTCCTCTGGTCTAAATGACTTGGACACGTCTTTAAAAGAACAAGTAGAAGCACTAAAAGCCTTGTTTCTAAAGAAAGATGTTTGCGCTGTCGCCAGACGTCATTTTTGACTACAGCTAAATAAACTACAGAGCAGGACGTCACACACAGCGACACTCAGTTTCTCATAAAAAACAAAGACAGCGGCGGAGTTTCCTCGGTTCTAAGTGACTCAAATGTCTTTAAAACCACAAGTAGAAGCGCTAAAAGAATTTCTTCTAAAAAAATAAGATGTTTGCGCCGTTGCCAGGCAGTTTTTAATTTTTTTTTACTACAGCTAGAAAACTACAGCGTCGCGCGGTACAGTCGGCATTTCTGTCTTTTTTCTAATTGGTTACTTTTGAGCTGCCTAGTCCCGCCTCTCAAGTGCCTCTGCCTGCGAGTAACCGGACTCTGTCTCTGTGCAGAATTAAACAGAGGACGAGTCTGGCAGGCCAGGCTACCCATAAACAGCTATGTGTTGCTAGGGGTCCAGAGGTGAAGATCTGCTAGCAGTTTGTAGCTAATTTCAACATTTTAGTGACTGATAAATGTCTCTGTGTTTTAGGAAAGTGGAGAAGCATTTAGAGCTCTTTCTTTTATGCAACTCTCCATGGTTACTGATTTCTGGGACAGAGGGAAGTGACATTATTTTCTGTGGTTAGAAATAAACTTTTAGCAAATGAATCTCCATGTGAGTACACATGTTGTAGTAGTGAATATTACACACCCAGATCTACAGAGCCATCGTGCAAGCCTACAGAGTAACACCACCACTCGCATACGCTTCATAATCCATCATATTTGTCTAAAGTCCTCCATTTGTTTTATGTCACGTGTAAATCCATTCATGCTCTGCTTTGTGGCTCATCTGTCTGTCTGACCTCCAGCGACACAGAACACCAACGCAGGTGCAGACTTTGCTAACTTTGATGCTTTCGGGAGTGCTTCTGAGACGAAGTGTGGTTTCCCGTCTGCACCTCAACCCCCATTTCAGCCCTCCACCACAGGTAGAGCTCATTTATTTGAACGGATCATTTAGACGTTAAACAGTTGCAGCCAGCACAGTGTGGCATGTTTTGTGTGGAACCATCATTTCACTTTATCTGTGTTTTCCAAACTCTTTCAAATGTGCAGTGATCACCCATCGACTTCTTCATTAAAACTGTCTGTACACCCAACAAATTCACATTCCTGAGCTGTCCATTATTTGGCACCTGCTGACTTACCTGTAGAAACAGTGTGGGATTTTTTTTATTTCTGACATACTTTTTAAAGTCGTCTTCATTAGAATGACCAGTTTGGTTCTCAGAAGTTCACCCACAAAATATCAGTTTCTGTTAAATATTTCAAAGTTGACGGTGATCCCTGCTGAGTGATAATACAGGTGACTACTTCTGGCATGAGGATTGTGGAACTGCCTTTCAGAAGCTTTTAGGGATGCTAAAAAAATGAAAAAACAACCAAAATGCTACATTTAGTGTTGTTGTGTTTTCTGGTTATGCTTTTCCTTCTCTGTTCTTTCCCCTGCATTGGTGTATTCCTCTTAACAGTTCCAGGGTGCTGGTGAGCTACATTGCCTTGTTGACTGGGTGTGGACCTGTGTTGTTCTTTCCCTCTCACCTCTGTAGTTTTGAAAGTTCCTTCCTTTGCTGCTTTTGTGGCTGCAGAAGTCCAACCCATCTCAGATAGTTTTCATACTTTGCTACAAAAGCATTAACTTTGCTTTATGACTCTTTGTTTTCACCACTGGTTTGGTTGACTTGTTTTCCCTTCTCTGCTCCATCTTACGTTGCTCATTTCACCATTTTTCTTTCCTTCCTTTTGATTTGTCTGCCAGCGTTCACTGTGCTCTCATCCAGCTGCAGTATGGGTGAGTTTGCCACTGCTCTGCCTCTTCGGGGTGCTCACAGTAAGTCTCTCACTGAGCTCGCCCTCATGTAACCACGCCACCATCTCTCTGATCTTCCCTTTTCAGGATGGTACTGCTCTGTCTGTCCATATGTTGGCCCAGTTAGTTGTTCTGAATGACACGCAACTGTTCTACTGTCTGAAGACTGAAATGTAGCTCTGTTAGCTTTGATCATTCAGGTTCTATAAATAAAAGATATAAGAATCGTGTAAAAATGTGGCAGCGCCAAATAGGAGTCATGAGGATATCAGTGGGATTCTCTTGGGAATGACAACTCTGACAGTCTGTTGCATCACTTATTTACAATGATTCATATGGTTGGATATTATTTTGGATTTAGATTGTAATACACCGAGTGGTCCTGTGTAAAACTTCCCAACCCTTTAATGTCCACTCTAGGGAAAAAGCCATACTTTAGGGCACTTTTTATTTATTCTTTTGATGAAATAAACATAATGCAAGATAATCTTAATGTAAAATACAGTAAAGTTATAACTTTTTATTCTAACATTCTTGGATACATTTAGTAGATTTGAAGTCGTAAAATAAAAACATCTAAAATGTGCTCTACCAAGTAGCTGACCTGCCAGTTCCAGGGTTGACGATGCTAGACTCTCCTAACCTCTTATGTGCTCTTTAGCAACAGCATTGTCTGAATCTCAGACCTGTCATTTATTTTTCAAAGTCTGAAAAAACTGTTGAATCCTCAGCCACACACACACACACACACACACACACACACACACACACACACACACACACACACACACACACACACACACACACACACACACACACACACACACACACACACACACACACAGAGAATGAGAAAAGGCAGAACAAAGCTTTTTCATTTCTTAAATTTAGCTGTTTTAAGTATCGGCTCCTCCTTTCAGTGACAAACATCACCCAGTCTTCACTGATCGTTTACCTTACTATCCATCATTTTAATCAGATGTCTGTGATTTGTTTATTTTTGTTAGGGAACCATTTGTTTAGAGTTCCTAAGATAAGATCACATAAAAAGTGCCTTGTACCCTTAAGCATTTTCCCTCGTCAAAGTCTATAAACTTCAAGGGTACTATTGGTGTGTGACGCCTTTGTTAGGATGTGACAGACCTACAAGAAAAAAAGGCGCCTGTTAATGTTTTAGCTACAGATGTTTACTTCCATCTATGACTCGGATAACGCCGGCGTCCCTGAATCTTCACCAATGCATCTTTATCTATTATTTTGTCTCAAAACAATAATCAAGGGCTCCCCTTATGACTATTTAATCTCTCTCTTCCATGCAGGTAGCACCTCAGGGGGACTAGCAAATGCCAATTTTGCAATTTTTGACAACTTCCCCAAATCGTGTAGTGCTGACTTTGGATCCTTCAGTTCCTCCTCCCAGAGTAACCACACAGGAGCTGGCTGTAGCCCTCTACAGAGTGCTAGCGTTCCTGTCGATAGATACGCAGCTCTGGCTGACCTGGATAACATGTTTAGCTCTGCCAATACAGAGCAAGGTAAACTTCTCTGGCCAAGCCGTTTTTCATAGATCTCCACAAGACAGCAAGAGGATTATTGAGTTACTCTCAGATTTGAGGCTCTGAGTCTTTTTCTTCCCAAAGCAGGATGCAATTGAAACAAATCGGGGCAGAGTTTTATAATGTACACCTAATTTTGATCAGTCAGTGGTCTGTTGTATGTAATGATGGCTGCACCTCCCCATAATCCATACCCTGGCTTTAGTAACTCTGAGCCAGCCTGCAGGAAGACCGGAAGCTCCTGGACTTTGTGAAAATGCCTCCTCGCTTTCAAAAACCACATTTCTGTTGGCTTAGAAGCTTTAAACAAACATGGTCAGAGGTCTGGCACTCAAGCATGGGTGTGTTTAGGCTCTTTAAAGTTTATTTTCTGCAAGACTTAACTCTTTAAGCGCCAAAGTCGCAGAATTGCGACAAGCAGCAATGTTGGATTTAATAAGCCAGAGCAGCAGAAATGAGCCCTCATGCAGTTCACATGTTACACAGCGGGGTGGCAGACACCTGTAACTTCAATACAAGCAGCATTTGTGGGTGTGTTACTATTCAAACTTTTGGAGTATTTAGAGCTTGAACCCCACCCACCAGTCACAGAGTCGCGGGGCTTGACAGAGCAGTCAGACCGAGTGAGAGCGAGCGAGTCGTAGAGGAAAGAAAACACAATGCCGAGACGAATGTTCAGTGCTGACGAAGCTCTTCGTCTAGTACTGGCAGATTTGGATTCAGAGGAAGACTATTTCCTTTCCGAGGATGATCTGTGGCCTTCTAGCGAGACGGAAAGCGTAGCTTCAGCGTGCAGCAACGGGGAGTCTGTCAGCGACGACGCGGTTACACAAGCAGCCCATCCAGCCCTTACCTTGTCCGATGTTATGCGTCACCGGGTCCGGGGTCGGGGGAAGAGACGTGGCGGGGGTTGGGGGATGTGGTGGCGGTGATCGGGCCGGTGAAAACTCCGCTGGTGATCGATTCAGCCCCTGGGGTGTAATCCGCGGTAATTGGAGCCGGAGTGGGAGGAACCGTGGGAAAAAAATCACTGCTAGCAGGGGGGTGGCCCAACACAGACTCAGTGGCAATAATAATGATGATGGCTGGGTTAGTTTGGGAGAAGAGGAACAGTATTCCAAGTGGATCAGGCATTTGGATTACCCAGTTGGATACTGTGGAGACAGGGATCTGTCAAATTCAGAACACATAGATTTTCTGTCAGTTTTTTAGGATGAAGAGTTCTGGACCCTCATCACAACTGAAACTAACCGATATGCTCACCAGTATGTAGAGAGGGAGGAACTGAAATCTAGCTCCAGATATAATGACTGGTACGATGTAACTGTCCCAGAAATGAAATCGTTCATTGCCATTCAGTTCTGCATGGGCCTTGTGGAAAAGCCTGAGACTGAGGATTATTGGGCTGGCTTTTGGCCAACATACACACCTGGCTTCAGCAAAGTGATGTCAAGAAACAGATTTGAGATCATCTTTTCTTTTCTCCACTTTGTAAACAATGATGAGTGTGTTGAAAGGGGTCAGCCAGGTCATGACAGACTGTTCAAGGTGCGCCCCATTATTGAGATGATAATTCCACGCTTTTCATCCATCTATGGTCTGCAGAAAGAACTGTCCTTGGATGAAATGACCATCACATCCAAGGGAAGGTCTTCCTTGAGGCTGTACAACCCCAAAAAACCAGAGAAATATGGCTACAAAGCATTTGTTCTGAGTATTATTTTGTTTATAATTGTTATATATATATATATATAAACAATTATAAACAAAATAAACCAAAGAAGAGATGAGTGAAATGTGTTCATGACACTGAAGCACCAAAAACAGTGTTCTTTATTGATACGCAGTAAACATAACAAAATACCAATAAAGTAATAAATATTATATACATATATAGTTATATATGTCTACATAGGAATATGTATATATGTGTCATAAACAATAACAACACTAAGAAAATAAGACAAAAAACAAAAAAACAACAAAAATCTGCAAATGTGATCCAATCCAATATGGCTGCCACCTGATGACGTCATAATATTCAAATTATGTGAGTGAATTTGTTCCTATCACAAAATTTGGCTCATACTGAAGATTTTTCTAATTTACAATATTCCTCTGTCTCTAACCAGATTTAAGCTACAAGCTCGATATAAAAAATCATATTTTACTGAAATAACTATGGCGCCTAAAGGGTTAATGTCTCTGCTAGAAAATGCAAATAACCAAACATTCATTCCCATTATTTTTAAATATTACAGCTCTTGGGACCGTTTGGGGCTTTGACTAATTTTTTTGTATAGAGGAGGCGGGGTGAATCTCTGATCTGCTTTCATACGTTTCCCTTTTAGGAGGTGGGATTCCAGGAGGGGTGAGCTCTGTGGCGGCAGCAGGAGGAGCTGCGGGTCTGCCTCAAAGGCAGCTAGGAGGGACCACCGGGGGAGACCGCTACGCCGCATTAGCAGAGCTCGACACCGCCTTCAGCTCCTCAGCTCCTGCTACCAGTGTTTACAACACCTCCAGCACCTCACAGGGGTAACGACACTTCTGATAACTATTACAGACGAAAGCATCAAACAACTCCTCTCTCACCATGATTGTTTTTCATGACTGTAGCGGCGTGTTTGGATCAGAGACAATGATGTCAACAGCACAAGCACAACAAGCCATGCCTGGTGTGGTTCAGGGTTTTGGAGGTGATTTACTGATGTTGCTGATGTAGTTGCCATTTAGAGAGTTGTTGAATTGAAAAGTTCCGGTTTAGGAAAAATTTATGTTGCGCTTTTCTGTGATTTTTCTCCGTCAGCTAAACTGGTGTTTTTTTATTGCATAATATTTTTTATTGTTTTAGGTTTTTCTGTCATGTTTGGTAACTTGATTTTTTTTCTGTCTACCAGCACCATCAACTAATCCATTTGTAGCTCCTGGTGTTGCCCCAGCTGCAGCTCCCACCAACCCGTTCCAGTGCAACGGCAGAGCACCAAATGTGGCAGCTGCTGCAGGTGTGTGTGTGTGTGTGTGTGTGTGTGTGTGTGTGTGTGTGTGTGTGTGTGTGAGTGAATCCAGTTAGTCTGCTACTTTAAAAACTAGCTTTCTTAAATAATATTTCAACAAACAGTAAACAAAATTCTGTATCAGACTGCACACCTAAAAATGCCCATGCTAGTTTTGCTAGGAAGTCAAATGAGTGGTGAAAACATGCAAAACACCACCTTCTCTGAAAATTTGTACCTGTGTTGATCTGTTTACTCGTAGGATAAAAGAATTATCAATGTGCAAAATTTCAAACTAACTCTTCAATTGTTTTACCATGCTGGGCAGGCTTGATGAGTGCTCTGCATTGGCAGGGTCAGGCCCCCACCTTTGGTAGGTTGCTGTGTGATGTCTGCTTCCTTTTGAACTCTTGGGCCCTGGCTTGAAAATAACAACTAAAATATGCAGGATAGTTGTCCTTGAACTCTTGATTTGGTGACCTCTGACCTAACTGCCTGCTGGGTGGTGCATAGAGCCATTGATTTTATGTTGATATGGTGTTGAACTGACAGATTTCCAGGAAAGCCGGATAGATCCATCTGAGAGGTTCAGCCGGATGTGGAGTTTTTTCATCCCTGTGCATCCCAGAACTCATGTTTTTGGAACACCTTTTTTTTTGCAGTTGTATTCATGTTTGTATAACTTCAAAATAACTCCCAGTCTGTGCATCATCTGATGGATTCCAGATTAGAGAAAGGTTGCAAAGAAGTTGAGATTCAGTAGAGACTACAGCTTTGTAGAGCAGGTAGATTAACTGACTGTTGATGTCAATTATGATCTGGGTTTTCAACGATCATTAAAACAAAATTAGTCGAATATGAGCTTCTCCTTCACTGCACCATCACGTTACATCGACTAACCAATCATAAACCTGTCTTGGTTGATCTCACTCCACTCACATAATCAGTTGTTTCACAAGTAAAATAAACTCAAGATTATAATTTTTGCCATAATCAAGCAGCCCCCCCCCCCCCGCTCTGTGACCTTTGACATTAACTATGATTGTCTCAGCATGCGGGCTGCATGACTACACATTTTAAAACACCCTTTGAGTTTTTCTGGATAAAATCTTTTTTTAAATAATCTGTTTGGTGGACCTGGTGTTTTGTCTCAGTGAGAAACGTGTTGCAGATCTTAACATATTTCAGTTTGACCAAAGTTCAAACGCTCCTTTGCATGGACAGATTTTGGTTATTTGCTTTTGAAAAATGAAAATGTGTCAAAACCCCTTGTTTTCCTGGTCTCCGTAGTAATTCCAGTCATGGACTTGACTGATTGTGTTTTAGGTTTACTGTTTACAACAGTTGTTTTGTTACTCAGGTGCTGTTTAATCATAAAACCCAAACTACTAAACCTACACACGATTTCTGACTTGCCTTGCCAACACAAATGCATTCATGCATTTAAATGTGTAAACATTTGGGGCTGTCAATTTGTTTGTTTTCACACTGAACCAAGCTATGAGTTCTAAACCCTCATCTAGACAACTAGGAACTTCAGAAAACATTCATGTTGGCCAGGCCATCACAAAGTGCTGAGTTTTTCTGGTTTTGAGTAAATGTCCTGTAATCAGTGTCCTCACGTTGGGTTAAAAGTGAAGAGTTCTAACATACTGATGCTCCAACCTATCGGTTTGCTGATGCTTGATGGTGTTTGTAAAGTACCACATCTTCTTTTTAGGTGTTTTTGAGTCTCTTCTGTGACTTGTTGCTGTTTTGTTATATAGCACCACCTTTTGGCACGGGCTCCATGAGTATGCCAGCTGGATTTGGGAATGCTGCAGCCTTCAACCTACCCACCAGCTTTAGTGGAACATTCCAGCCACCCTTTCCTGGCCAGGCTCCTTTCCCTCAGCCTCCTGTGTTTCCTCAGCAACCCAACGGTATGTGTGTGTGTGTGGATCATGTATGTTTAGACTTGGCTACATCATCAGTTAGGCTGAAGTTTACATCTAAACCAAACTTTATATTGGTTGCATTGACCATGGAGCCCAGAAGTCCCCGTTTCTCTCTTACTGCTGTCATTAAGTGATTGTGTTACTGTAATACTGCTGATGTTCATGTTTTTCAGGGGGAGGATTTCCTGCCTTTGGCCAGGCCAAGCCTGTCGTGACTCCTTTTGGACAGGCTATGGCAGCACCAATGGTTCCTAACAATCCCTTTCTGGTTAGTATGGTGGCCAAGTGAAATGATATAGTCAGAACGAAACGTGCTTCAACACAGAGATGGGTAAAGAGAGGCAGATTTCATGAGCAGATTTCATTAGAGCCTCGTCTCCGTTTGTTCTAGTTTATTCTGATATCTCAGTGGGTTGAAGGTATGGCTGTTCTAAACTATGTAAATGAATACGGTCTTATCCTGAATGGCCTTCAGTTGGAGAGGTTGTTTATCTGACCGGACTGATAAGCTAATGGCTAGTCCAAGCAAAGGCAAGGCCAAAGTGTGTTGCCGCCCTCTTATTTTTTTTTAAACTTTGTACCACTATCAATGGGCAAAAGAGTAATTGAAGGTTGAATATGGAAGAATTGAATAAAAAGCTGCATTTAAATAAAGTAATACCTCAATGGGGCATTTAGAGGTGTGCAGAATGAAGCTACAGTATTTCCTTTAAAAGCTATATTTTAATTTTAAAAAATCAAGTATTTATTTTGACGGGCACAACACTGGGTTTATGTTTACATCTACCATCCAATAGAGGGCACTGTTGTGGGTTGCCAGACAGTCCACTCAACACAGCGAGGCTGGCACTGTGGAACATGGCAAACTCAGCAAGTCAAGCAGCTGCTTCTAAGCCCAGAAGATGTTATAACCTTCTCAAAGTAGGAGTGACTGTAAAAGATCTAAAACCAGCGTGAGTTTAGGTCAGGGGTCGGCAACCCGCAGCTCTAGAGCCGCATGCGGCTCTTTAGCACTCTCTAGTGGCTCCCTGGAGCTTTTTCAAAAATGTTTGAGAATGGAAAAAGATGGCGGAAGAAAAGAAATTTTTTGTTTTAATATAGTTTCTGTAGGAGGACAAACATGACACAAACATTCTTAACGTTTTTCAGTGCTGTAAAAATGTGTAGAAAAATATTAAATTTCAACATTTCTGTCAACGAAGATTTGCGTCATAGCCTGCGACACACGTTTCTATCAGCCGGGCGGGATGCCAGGCAGGTGGCTGTTGTAAACAAATCGGCGGCTGTGTGATGGGCCATGGATCCCAAAGGGAAAAAGAGAAAAATAACTGAGGAGAACAGAGGATTCAACGTTTCTTGGACCGAATCATTTGCATTCATTGCCAATGCAGAAGGATTGCCTGAATGTTTGCTCTGTAACGAGAAGTTGTCAAATAACAAAAAGAGTAATGTGGAAAGACATTTCCAGGGAAGGCGTGCTACATTTGCAGCCGAGTATCCAGTTGGGAGTGAGAGAAAAAGTGTGATTGCATTACTTCTGGAGAAATTACAGGAGCGCAAAAATAGATTTAAGAAGTGGATTGCATCTCCAAACTCCACTACTGCTGCAAGTTTTGTTGCAACCGGGGAGATAATAAAGCGTGGAAAACCGTTCACAGATGGTGACTACATGAAGGAGTCGTTTTTATAAATGCAGGCTGCGTTTTATTGCACTGTTTGTTGCCCCGATGAGGGGCACGTAATGCACGTTCCATTTTGTTGTTTTTTCGAATCCTAAAAAGAAAAATGACATCAAAAATCGGATTTCTTTATTGCATTTCTTTAATTTCATCAAAGCAATGAAACATGACTCATTAATATTGTAATGAAGTTAAACTTGAGGCGGCATCGTACAACAGAGTAGTCACGTGGTGCGTCATTCTCTACAGGATGCGCTACAGGGAAAATAAACATTTAATCATGAAGGCTCATTATGTATTTGTAGCCAGCTTAGTCATTTTGATAGTAGGTTAATATAGATACATACAGCATGTGTTACAGTCATTATAAGGCTTATGTAAGGCTTTTAATGTTTTGCAGCTCCAGACATATTTGTTTTTTTGGTCCAATATGGCTCTTTCAACATTTTGGGTTGCCGACCCCTGGTTTAGGTGAAGCCTGCAACAGATGGACCCAAATACAAGTTCATGTATCTGCATTTGGTATCCCGACAGCTGGAAACCTTGTTCTATTGTTGCAACTACAACCTCCACACACTAGATATCGCTTTGGTGTTCATACTACATATTCTACCTTTAATAGTTTTTTACTCATGGTTCATATATTAATTTAATTCCTCGCAACATCAAATTGAATCAGAAATGCAAACAAATGATTTATATCTTAGCTTCTGCAGGAGCCATTTTTATTTGTGTATTATTTGTGGTCCAGTAGTTGAGGTCACTTAGGCAACAGCCTTTTTAAATGCCAGCTGTCGTTAGGCTGGCACGTTTTTACTGACTTAGTCTGGTGTCATTCCTGTGGTATGTAGCGCCAAACATTGAACACACTCAGCTCAACTTTATTTATAAATCACGCCTTACAGGCAAAAAGATGCCACCAAGGCGCTACACTGATCAAATAAAAACATAAAACATTAAGTCCAGAAAATAAAACATTGTATCACACGATACAGATAAAAATACAATGAGTAAAATCGCTATAAGTAAAACAATAAAACCAGTTAGAAAGGTTAAAAGACAGGTCATAAAAATATGTTTTTAGCCTTGCCTTAAAAACCACAACAGAGGTGGAGGCCCTTATGCTCAGAGGAAGCTTATTCCAAAGCTTAGGACCTGCCACAGCAAAGGCCCTATCACCACGCGTCTTTAGATGTGTTCTTGGGACCGAGAGGAGCATGAGGTTCTCCGAGCGGAGTGACCGTGAAGGGGTGTAGGTTGAAGTAGTAACACCAAGTAAGGAGGGGCCAAACCATTTAACGTTTTAAAAACTAGTAAAAGTATTTTAAAATGAATCCTAACATCAACGGGCAGCCAGTGAAGCGCACACAAATAAAGATGGCTCTGCCACCAAACATGAATGCTTTAAAATCATTCCTTTTGCTGAGGTAAGAAATATATTTATCACATTGTCTAATTTTAATCTGAATATGTGCATCTCTGTAATTCCAGGGTTCGGGTCCACCTCCACAGTATCCAGCTGGAGGCTCCTCAACAAACCCCTTCTTATAGCGCTCCATCTCATCAGATGCACTACAGGGTCAACAGCTGGCACGCTTGCACCTATTGCACTGTTTTGTTTCACAAGTAGCTTTATAAAAAACCAAAAAAAAAAAACCACAATGTTTGTAAGAATTTGAAATTTTAAACGCAGTTTGTCGCAAATGGAACAATGTGCGAGGCAGTCGTTCTGACAACTGTCGGTGACAACAAAACAACATGATGGTGTGTGCCGAGGGCGAGGTTGATCCTCTTCTATTTAATCTGTGAACTGGCCTGTTCTCTCCTGAGCCACAATGTATACTCAGACTGGCTGAAAACTAAATTATTGCATTCAGTGTATCTCATTCATTATGCTGCAGTTCTGTACATATTACTTCTCCTTTATGACACTAGCTCTTTGTGCATATCAGTATTTGTATAATACACAGAATTTAAGACAAGGCTGTTGCTTGGTTACTGCCAGTTTCTGTATTTGTGAAGAACAAGCTGTTCATTTGTGCAGAGTCTTTTTGGGAGTTGGTTGTTCTCACTACTTAGCCAGCATGCATAGGTGGGCCCCATATGGGGACACCGTACGGGGGTTTTCCATGTTGGCCCTACAGGGGTTTACCCACATACATTTTTACATGGGTTTTTAGAGGGAGCCAGATGGTATGACTCATACATAGACCCATTAAAATCTATGTCGGCAAATCCCTGTGGGGCCACCATGGAGACTGGACAAACCCTGTTGGCACCCGTACGGTTTGCCCATATACATCCATATGGGGCACACCTATGCGTGCTGGCTGGGAAAATGCTGTTAAACAAATGATTGCTGCATCAGAAACAGGAGGACACTTTGCTCTACCATCTTTGCCTTGCTGAAAGGCACATAGTCACAACACTTGTGTTTGACAGTCAACCACACATCTGTGCTGGAAATCAGAACGACTGAAAACTGATTTTATTGGGTATTAAAGAATTTTAAGTTAATGTGTAAATATATACAGAATGTATATTAAAATCAATTTTAAGTAAGGATTGACCCAAGTGTTTATTTGTGAGTAAAAAAAACAACTTTATTTTTAATCTTTTAAGGTGACATTATGGCTCAATCTCCCATTCACAACATCAGAGTTGCTGCTCTTCAATTACCAGAGATTCATTCGTGTCTGCAGTTCGGTCTTGTTTGTTTCTCAACCCTCTCCAAAAGCTATAGAGCCCCCGGAGTGAAAAGACCACAGAGATGCATGAGAAGTAGCTGGAGTAAATGATAAACTGTAGAAGAATGCACGGGGTTAGTAATTCTGAATCTCAAACGTCTCCCAGCACCTGTTCTTTAACCAGATGTCCTACCTGAGGAATGATGGGCAGACCCAGCCCTCCACTGTCAACAACAACTGAAGTGATAATTGTCTGCAGAACCAGCGCTCCAAAGTTGTTCGCTCCAAAGACAAGAGCGTACCGTTCCATTGACAGGTCTGCAGCGATCTGATACCTGAAAGTACATTTTGTTTTTCTTTTTGTCTTCCATGTGCAGCAAATGAGCTGGAATGTTCCCTAAATCGCACATCTTACATGGCTATTGTGATCAGCAGCATGTACAGGCACTTAAACACAATGTAGCTGCTGTAGCAGACCCAGATGTTGCCAGTGAAGGTCATGAGAAATAATGCAGCTGCACCGAGTCCAGAAAAACCGCCCAGGGCCAGCTCGCCCCACTTCTCCCATCGAACATCTGTGAAGCCTATTCCGTAGGCCGTCGCTGCACCTGGAAAACAAAATTGGAGCTTTATCATTGTTTTGGGACGTTTGAGCGCCAGTCTGGTGAACTAGCCGAGGTTACTTACTCAACAGGTTGGATGCTGCTTCCACTCCTCCATTATAAATGCTAAAATTCTGTGAAGGCTGCACGTGCTCCCACAGCACCTTCATAGGACAAACCAATTAGAAGACATTAAAGTACCAAACATGCTTACTTTTGCAATTATTGTGCAAAACAGGTACATTTCTCAAGCAGGAATTCAGGTTTGGGTCAATTAGAGCAGTACTTCAGAGGAAGTTAGCACCAAACTTAACCCTTATATCCTCTTAGTGCATTGATTAGCTCAAAAGTGCTCACGGACACACATGTAGACAGATTTCAGAACAATATCTGAGTCATGGGTCTTTTGTGTATGTAGACAATTTTCAGATTTGAGTTCAGCTCATGAAAAATGGGAGAAAAAGCAAAAGTGTTTACATTTTAGTTCGGTGTACTTGTGAGGGCTGACGCTAAAGATGAAGTTCATGTTTAAAAATGGAACGTATAAAATATATTTCTATAGTAAGTTTTAAGTATTTTAACTTCATACAGAAATGAAAACCTGTTGCAATCGGTGTGAAATACTTCTGGCAAGTAAGATTGGAGTATGCATACATTTGTCTGTTCTGAGACCTTGAAGTCAAGATAAACAGAAATTAAATACCCCACATGCAAAAAGTTAAGATTTAGCCAAGTTGTGATTGGCTAACATTAAGATCTCAGTAAACATTTATTCCACTGACTTCCTCTGAACTTTGATCAGTTTGTTATATTTTAAAATAAAAATTAAAATAGACCGTAACAATCACATTTTTAATTTCTAATATCTTGTATTCAACTTTATATAATTTCTAATGTTTTTATATTCTTCACAACTGACCTGCACGTAGTTGCCCGTCTGGTTGTATCCACATGTGGCCATTGCCCACCACAGCGACCAGTACAGCAGCTGTCTGGAGGAGTAACACTGTTGGAAGTCTCTCCACAGCTGGAGGATGACCTGGCTGCAGCTCTCTGCACCTCCAGACTCACCCTGCTCATATCCTGTTTCTGCTCTCTGCACTTCCTCATCTCTCATTTCTTCCAGGGATGCAGGGCATGTTTTAAACATACCATCTGCACCCACAGATCCAACTTTGTCTTCTGCTGTTCCTCCCACCGCTGGTGCCGCTCCAGAATGTTTTCGGTGGAAGAACATGCTCCGCTGTGGCATAGGCAGGGCACAGGAGGTGAAGAGAGCAATGAGAGTGAGAACCAAAGTAAGAATCAGGATGTTGTGGTAGGACATGAGGCTGAAGCTGATGAGCAGCTGACCCAACACGGAGCCGATCGTGTACCCCAGGAGCTGCACACTTCTACTGTATGACGTGACCTTTCGGTACCTCTTCACATCTATAACACTGTAATGAAAGGCACAGCTTATTCTAGCAATCAAGCCACGTCCAACAGTACAAAACTCACGACATCACTGCTATGACCTGTAGATGTAGGAGAAGTAGGCCACCTCGCTGGCTGTCACCACCCCATAGAAGAATTGCATGGCCTGCATGGCTGACACGCTCTCTGTCCACCTCAGCAGTGCGGTGGTGATGACGAGCATGACGCACTGGAAGACCACTACTGGTTTGTAACGCAGCCAATCGGTGAGCAGGAACACCGGCACCAACACAGACAGGTATGAGTACGTCCACACCGGAAAGATCTGACTGTTGACCTGACAAGAAGGCACTGTTATGAGGACATTAAAGCTTTCATTCACTCATTTTGAATACATTTGCAGTGGTCTCTAGCATATACAAATATCTTGATTTGTCCTCTGTGGGGAAAAAAAGCTCTGGCGCTCCTGTTTTAGCAAGTAAAAGTTCTCTGGATAAGGGGTGAGCAGAAAACAGCATTCACTCATTTTTCATGATATTCGAAAATCTCAGCTTTGATTGGCTAACAACAACTCTTCTACTGACTCAGTTTGCTCTGCAACGTTGATGTTTTATCTTCACAAATAACACAAGCCTGAAGGAGTTCTGGCGTGTGGCGGAGTTGCTAATGTTAATTGTCAGCAGCTTCTACCAGCTGAAAAGTTCCCTGCACTCTCCTGGCTGCTAAAACAATTAAAAGCGGTTTGTTGTTGCGAACCAAGATGGGTGAGTCCATGAATGTTAATTTTCAGTGTGACGTAGATCTGTCAGGTTTTTCTAATAATCTTTCTGGAAACAGTGGGATCTAACTTTTTTCCTTTCATAAATTTGAAGTGCTCTCCAGCAAAAGTTTGATCTTTTTGAAAGTGATTTCAGTGGTTTGCACCATCTCTTATACATTAGTAAAATTCACTTTAATGTTGCAATTGTGCACCAAGCTTATGTAAAATATTGTACGTACAATATTACACTTAACTTGTAACATGTTTTGTAACATTCGGTGGTGACCGAAAAAACGAGATCGCAGGTACAAGCGGTCGAAATGATGAGTTTTTTTCTGCAGGGTGTCTGGGCTACCAGAGCAGGATTTCATATTCGAGACACATGATTGCCTGATAAGACAAAGCTTATTTTTGGTTCTTTGAGAAGGAAGCTAAAATTGGGACACAATGTTTTGTACTTGAATTTTTTTAACTGGCTGATGTGTGTAGACTGAGATGAGTGTTTTGAGAGTTGTGGTTTGAAACATGTACATGGATGCTTTTGTGCAAGTTACAAAATGAAAGTTTCATGTTACAAAACAAGAATTAGGCTACATGTTACAAAACGATAGGTTTGTGTCACAAAATGAGAATTTCATGCAACAAAACAAAAGTTATGTGTTACCAAACGAAAGTTACGTGTCATAAAACGATAATTACATGTTACAAAATGAAAGTTATGTGTTAGAAAACGTGAATTAGAAGCTACAAAACAAAAGTTACAGTTACAAAACGTTACAAGTGACAAAACTTGTTACAAGTTTCATGTAATATTGGCATTCCTAGCTCCATATAAAACAGGCAAACAAGATACCAAATAGTCTTGTCTAGTTTACTTGTCATTCTGTTAGCTCTGATTCTATTTTACTCAAAACAAAATAAATAAATAAATCGTTCAATTGGTTTCCTTTCCTTTAAACATTGACAAAATTATGAGTTTTAGGCATAAAAGCACATTTTAAAGTCTTTACATTTTAAACACTGAAACAGCTAATTTCGTCAATCTTGTGACAGATAAGTTTACTAAACGGAAGAACATGAAACTTTAAACTTTTAATCACAAGTTAAACGTTTTATTTTAAACATACTGATACAAAGGCAAAAGGTGTAATTAAATATGAGTATTTTGATAATTTAAGTCATTGCAGAATCAACGTTGGATCTTTTATCTCTTGACTTTTTTCTTGCTATTCTGGCATGACTTTCTTATCTCTGTCCATTACCTATGAATCAATGATTGACTATGAAAACGCTAGCTCCCACCATTACTTTGTGCCTGTTTGCTGCTCTTACTAACAATCTGAAAGACGGTTTACTCTGGTATGATTTCTTTTTTCATGCACAGATGAAACAGTAGTAGCTTGCTAACGTTAGTTGTTAACTGTGGTACCTGTTCGGTTGTTAGATTCTTGTCGGGTCCTGTCAGGAACGGTATCAGGAAAGGCTCCAGCGGCTTAACTGTGCTAAAGAATCCATAGATACACAGCAGAGTGGTGGGATATCTCCAGTCTGACCTCCACGTCTTCACCACCTCCATGCTTCAGTGCTTGGGTATGCTCTGTGTGCGTGTGCAATTATTAAAGAGCAGCTCTTTTAGTTTCACCTACCTTCTAGGAAGCTAAAAAAAAAGGCTGAATTTGCTTTTGCTAATCAACATCCTGGTCACAGAGTCACAACGACCTTGATTGAGATTTCAGGACCTAATCTTTCATTTTTTTTATCAGAAGTTGTTTTATTGTTTTATTCAACTTCCACTGTATATCATAGGAACATAATAACTGGTTGGGCCTCCCTTAGCAGCAACAACTATAATCAATAACTGCATTTGCGATAACTTGCTACAAGTCTTTTACAGCGCTCTGGAGGGAATTTTGGCCCACTCATCTTTGCAGAATTGTTGTAATTCAGCTTTATTTGAGGGTTTTCTAGCCTTTTTAAGGTCATGCCATAGCATCTCAATAGGATTCAGGTCAGGACTTTGACTAGGCCACTCCAAAGTCTTCATTTTGTTGTTCTTCAGCCATTCAGAGGTGGATTTGCTGGTGTGTTTTGGGTCATTGTCCTGCTGCAGCACTGAAGATCGCTTCAGCTTTAGTTGAACAGATGGCCGGACATTCTCCTTCAGGATGTTTTGGTAGACAGTAGAATTCATGGTTCCATTTATCACAGCAGGCCTTCCAGTTCCTGAAGCAGCAAAACAACCCCAGACCATCACACTACCACCACCATATTTTACTGTTGGTATGATGTTCTTTGTCTGAAATGCTGTGTTACCTCTACGCCAGATGTAACGGGACATTTGCCTTCCAAAAAGATCAACTTTTGTCACATCAGTCCACAAGGTATTTTCCCAAAGGTCTTGGCAATCATTGAGATGTTTCTTAGCAAAATTGAGACGAGCCCTAATGTTCTTTTTGCTTAACAGTGCTTTGCGTCTTGGAAATCTGCCATGCAGGCCATTTTTGCCCAGTCTCTTTCTTATGGTGGAGTCGTGAACACTGACCTTAACTGAGGCAAGTGAGGCCTGCAGTTCTTTAGAAGTAGTCCTGGGGTCTTTTGTGACCTTAGATGAGTTGTCTCTGAGCTCTTGGGGTAACTTTGGTCAGCCGCCCACTCCTGGGAAGGTGCACCACTGTTCCATGTTGTTGCCATTTGTGGATAATGGCTCTCACTGTGGTTCGCTGGAGTCCCAAAGCTTTAGAAACAGCTTTATAACCTTTACCAGACTGATAGATCTCAATGACTTTTGTTCTCATTTGTTCTTGAATTTCTTTGGATCTTGGCATGATGTCTAGCTTTTGAGGTGCCTTTGGTCTACTTCTCTGTGTCAGGCAACTCATATTTAAGTGATTTCTTGACTGAAACAGGTGTGGCAGTAATCAGGCTTGGGGGTGGCTACAGAAATTGAACTCAGGTGTGAAACACCACAGTTGGGTTATTTTTTAACAAGGGGGGCAATTACTTTTTCACACATGGCAATGTAGGTTTGGATTTTGTTCGCTCCCTAAAGAATAAAAACCATCATTTCAAAACTGCATTTTGTGTTTACTTGTGTTATCTTTGACTAATGGTGTTCGATGATCAGAAACATTTAGTGTGACAAACATGCAAAAGAATAAGAAATCAGGAAGGGGGCAAATAGTTCTTCACACCACTGTAGATGAAGATTTTTATTGACACAGGTCAGAAATGTTCTGCAGAGACCACTTCCATTCTGTTCTCTGGTCCATTGGATTCGTGATCAGAACTGAGCTGATGATGCAAACAGACGCTGTAGATCCCTCGGATCAGAAAAAGAAGAGAGATAGCAGCATAGTAGCTTCCATATATGATGAACTGCAGAGAAAAAAAATACATGCCATGATCAGATTTGTTGCAAATTTTAGGATTGAATCTGCACCAAAACAGTCTACGTGTAATAGATAAACATGACCACCAGGTGTCACCCTAACATAAACAGACCAGTGTTACAATGTCCAGTCCCAGAACAGCTTCATCAACAACTGTGACTGTGAATATGGTCTGAAGGCAGAGGACGATGAAGGTGTTGATCCCAAACGTTAAAGCGTAACACTCCGTGGAGAGGTTTGATGCAATCTGAAATCTAAAATGAATAAATAAACACAATCAGCCAAACGATCTCAGAAACTAACTCTCAGACTAGTCAGTATTAGACATGTAGACTATATGCTGCATGCCAACTCAGATTGACCATATTAAAATATTATAATATTCTTATAATATCCATCTTTAAAAGTTTTCCTGAAGTTTAGGATGATGAGAAGTTTACCAACAACACAGCTTATGGCTTTCACTCCTCCGTTGTAGATGGACGACGTGGCCAATGTTTCTATACGGTCCCACAGGAGCTGGATGAAGTTGAAGGTTTGCATGTAGCCAGCTGTGGCTAAAGCCCACCACAGGGACCAGTAGACTAAATGCCTGTTCTCTTTTGTGAACCCGACCCATTTTTCTTTTCCAGCTTCCAGTTTAAAAATGTATTGTTAAAATTGGCCTTTCAAGCATAAACATCTCCAAACTTTCAGTCATTTCCAAACTATTAGAAAAGGTTGTCAATCAGCAGCTGGTGTCTTTCTTGGATGATTCCGATATACTTGAGATTTTCCAATCTAGTTTTAGGGCTGGACATAGCACTGAGTCTGCACTGTTGATGGTTTTAAATGACGTCTTTTTAGCCATGGACCAGGGAGCCGCTGTGGTACTGCTGTTATTGAACCTAACGGCAGCCTCTGATACGGTTAACCATGCCATTCTGCTGGATTGCTTGGAGCAATGGATAGGGATCACAGGGTCTGCCCTTCAGTGGCTGCACTATCATCTTTTGGGTAGGAGGTTCTGCGTCATGGTGTGCGATGCTGTGTCACCTTGGGAAGACTTGCGATGGGAAGTACCTCAAGGTTCTGTTTTGGGGCCACTCCTATTTTCTCTTTATTTACTTCCACTGGGGGCTTTCCTGTGTAAACATGGTGTTAAGTTTCTGTATGCAGATGATTGCCAAATCTATGTTCCTGTTTGTCCAGGGAAGAGGGGCTCCATTGTTTATCTCCTGGCTTGTCTAAAGGATGTTAAGTCATGCCTAACAGCTAATCACCTTCACGTGAATGATTCTAAGACTGAGCTTATTACATTCCTCCCTAGTAAGGTGAGTGTAAATTCTGCCTCTGATCTAGACGCTCTCTCACCCTACCAGAAGTCAGTTGTCACCAGCCTGGAGATTGGATGCAGAATTCAAACTAGAATCTCACATTAATATGGTTGTAAGAGCCTGCTTCTTTAACCTGCGACGGCTGGCAAGAATCAAGCCCATGTTGTCCTGAGCACATCTGGAGTCAGTGCTCCACGCACTTGTGTTTTCTAGGCTCAACTACTGTAATGCTCTACATGTTGGGTTGAGCCAGGTAGTAAGGGATCTTCTCCAGTTGGTTCAGAACACGGAGCCAGTTTTCTGACAGGGGCAAGGAAATCAGCACATATTACTCCTGTGCTGTCATAGTTACACTGGCTTCCTGTGGTCTTTTGGGCAAAATTTAAGGTCCTCTGCTTTGTCTACCGGTCTCTATATGGTGGTGCTTCACCATACTTGGCAGCACTATTAACACGGCACATCCCATCACGATCTCTACGCTCGGACGAGCTGGAGCTACTGACTGTTCCTCACTTTCGGTATAGATCTAGAGGAGATTGGGCTTTCTCGGTCTTGGCTCCATCCCTCTGGAATAAGCTGTCACTCAGCATAAAACAGTCACCCTCACTGCATGTTTTCAAGAGTCGCTTGAAGACTCATTTTTATTGTTTGGCTTTTATGTGATTTGGTTGTATGCTTCTTATCCTACTTTTATATATGCATATTATTTTTTAAATCTTGCTTTTATGTTTGTATGTGGTTTTAAGGATTTTTATCACTCAGTTTTTATTTTAATCTGTTATGTTCAGCGCACTGGGCTTCCACAGAGGCAGTGAAAGGCACTCTATAAATAAAGTTTGACTGATAAAATCTACTGTTCATATTTTTTTAAATCTACAACAAAATCTGAATTAGTTGTCCTAAGCTTGACTTTTTATTGAACTGTGTAAATGTAAATGACTCTTTGGTCAGTATTAAATAACTTTGAGATTTTTACTTTTAGTTTTGGACTAAATAATAGTTTGTTAATTTGTTTAAGCAGATATTTGTATATTTTCTGCAGTAAACGTCCAAAAGTCAGTGGATTACATATTAGTAGTTAACTGTGAAGAACAAACTTTTTAACGACCCCCTGTTTTTGTTTTTTTCTGTAACATGACATGATGGCGTCCAATCAAACAAGCAAAGTATGAGATGTGAAACAACGCAATTTTAAAGTGGGCTTACATTGTGATGGTGATGAGAAACATGTAGCAGGATTTGAACATCACGTAAGCAGCGTAGCACGCCCAGATGCTGCTTGTGAATGCCATCAGAAACACAGCCCCCGCCGCCACTGCCGAGAACAGCCCCAGTGCCAGCTCTCCCCACACGACCCAGCTAACCTTGATGAAGCCCACAGAGAACGCTGCTGCAGCACCTGAAACATAAAGCTATTAATCTCCAGAGGACACTTCTACGAAGCATTTTCATCCTTCTTGTTCTGATTCATTTATCTTGAGGCCACAATCCCTCTGAATATTAAAAGTTTGCAAAACCGTGTGCATGCATCTGCTTTTGCTGTCCTCCACAGCAGGTCTTGATAACCTTTTGCAACAGACATTTAACCACAGGATCCATTACATTTTGACTGTCTCTTTAATTGAAGCAATTACTCTTCTTCCTTCTATGCTAAGCCTAGCTAAGTCGTAAGGGACCCCGGAGCAGCTGTAACTTTTTCAAAATCAATACCTATTTTCCATTTAATCAGTCACCACAAACAACCAGGTGCAGCTTGCTTGTTTTTAGTTAATTGCAGTTTTTATATATATCCATGTGCTCTCAGATGTGGCAGCTTGTTAAACGCTGTTTTGTGTGTTATATCGTGGGAGTGCGCTTGTCTTCTTTTCTTCCTTACAACAATAAAACTCCTGGTTGGAGTTTGCAGCTTCTCTGTTCACTTCCTTTTAAACTTTAAGAGTTTTCCAGAAGTTTAGGACGATGAGAAGTTTACCAACAACACAGCTTACGGCTTCCACTCCTCCGTTGTAGATGGACGACGTGGCCGATGGTTCTATACGGTCCCACAGGAGCTGGATGTAGTTGAAGATTTGCATGTAGCCAGCTGTGGCTAAAGCCCACCACAGGGACCAGTAGACTAAATGCCTGCATGGTGATGAGTTTGACAGCAGGTTAAGATGGTGACTGGGATTTAAAGGCCATTTCTGAGTGAATCATTTGTAGTAAAATGCCACGAAGAGTAATTATCTAAGATACTAAATCCCAAAAGAAAACAAACTTGCTTTGAAGAGTAGGATTCCCTAAAGCTCCCCCAAAGTAAATGTCCTGCAGCGCTCAGATTTCCTCTGCTGCACCAGCCACCATGCTCCATCTTCTCTTCCTCGTAGCCACCTGAACTCGTATTCATCACTGTACCCTTGTGGCCATTGTTTTGGATTGATCCCTGCTCCTGGAGCTCTTTCGCAGCATCTTTCCCCTTGAAGAACATGCTTCTCGTGGGCATGGGCAACCAGAGCGAGATGAGAAATGCCACGCTCATAAATCCCAGAGTTACAGCGTTAATAAAGAAATAGTCCATTCCTGTTAAATGTAAAACAGAGATCAATGCAGCTTCTTAATGAACCTGCTATTATTGTAAGCATTTTAGAATAAATTAGATTTATTACAGAGTGTGCTTCTACCTGCAAGGGAGATGAGCATTTGGCCCAAGCTGGCACCAAATGTATATCCGGCCAGCGTGGCACTGCGTATGTAACCTGTCGCTTTTTGGTAATTCTCAAGTGGGATCACGCTGTAAATGTAGGAGAAATAAGCCACTTCTGTGGAAGTTGCTACAGCGTAGTTGACCTGTGGATGAGAAAGAGGAGTCTTTGTAAAACTATTGATCACCAGAAAGTTTAAGATCATAATGCAACGTATTTTCTGGAGTAGAAGTGATAAACATGCATTAACATGCCAATAATGACCAATGTGCTTTGTCTTTGGAGGTACACTCACGGGACATTTTATTAGGTACGCCTTGCTAGTATAAGGCTGGGACCCCCTTTGGTCTTCCAAACTACCTTAGAGTTCTGTATTGAAATGATTGCATCACACAGCTGCACATCCATGATATAAGTCTCTCGTTCCAGAGGTTTCTGACTTGATTGAGATCTGTTGACTTTGGAGGCTGTAGGAGACTTATTGATAAAGTGCATTATCCTGCTGAACGTAGCCATCAAAAGGTGGATCCATTGTGGTCGTAAAGGGATGGACATGGTCAGCAACTGTACTAAGGTACGCTGTGGGGTTGAAGCCAGGCTTGGTTGGTGCCAAGGAGTCCCATTACACCACCATCAGGAGTAGCCGAATCCTTGGTACAAGGCAAAACGTCAGGTCCTTCACTGAGAAACTATTTTTTCTATCATTTTTGAAAACGATCAGCCACTGTGAGTTTAACATGCAGCCTGAACATAAAATAGTCTCCTACACCTATCTCCTGCATTAGCTTCTGATAGAAAAAAAACGGTGAAACTCTAGGATTGGAAACTCCTGACAGATCTATGTCGCACTGTCACCTAATGTTCATGGACTCACCCATCTTGACTCGTGACAGGGAAGGCTGTTGGTTTCCAGGAAACAGCAGAGAATGTCTTGACTAGCAGAAGCTAACTGTTAGCATTAGCTACTCCACCACGCAGCAGTACTCCTTCAGGCTTGAACTATTTGTGGAGATAAAACATCAAAGTTCCAAAGCAAACAGTTTCAGTGATAAAGTGGCGTTGCTGTTATTCAATCCAAAGAGAGATGTGCAATATCAGGAAATAAGAGGCCAAATCCGGCAGTCTGAAACTACTTTCTCCTCCAACTGAATTTCCTGTGCTGAAACAGGGGCACTGGCGTCTTTTTCACTGACAGGCATTCTTTCCTACTAGAGACCACTGCAAATTCATTAAAATATGAGTGAAGGACCTAGATGATCTCTCTAAACAAGGTATTTCATCCACAACTGCTCCTTGCTGGACATTTTCTTAATTTATTTTGGTCTGGTTTGGGTTTTTTGGTGATGTTGTCTTTCAGTCTCTGAAAACCCTAACAATGGTCAATGATGACACCAATAACCATCTCATATTCGAAATCTCAAAAATCCCTTTTCATTTGAACTACAGCACATTGTCTTCACCAAGTCTAAATACATTGAGATGCATGGTGTTAACAAATTGTACCCAATAAAGTGGCCGCCAGTGGCACATCGTTAATCAGTTTCTTTTACCCCAGGTGTTTATATTTACTTCTTCATAACATCTGCATCTGCTACAAAGTTAGATTCGTGCTGACCTGAAGGAAGGTCATTGCAGGGAGACCTGGTGCGAAGCAGAGCAGAACATAGTTGCTGATGAGAAAAAGTCCCTGCACTATAATGAGCGGCTTGTATCTTAGGAAGTCAGTCAAGAGGAAAACGGGGAAGAGGAAGGCCAGGTAGGAGTAGGTCCAGATAGGAAACAGATAGTTGGTCACCTGTGGGAGACAAAAGACAAAGGGTTGGTATTTTATTTTTATTTTGGTTGTAGACTTTGTTCAGATTTCTGACGATCGCTGTGCAAATGATTGTGTTTAACAAAACACATGCAATTCTTACCACTTCTTCAGAGATGTTCTTATGTGGTCCAATTAGATATGGTGTTAGGAAGGGCTCTGCTACTCGGCAGTTAGCAAAAAATCCATAGAGTGAAAGGATTGTGGTGGGATAAACCCACCCAGCGGACCTTTGCTTGGCCCAGCAGCCCATGTTTTGACCCGGCAAAATTTCACACGAGTTGTCTTTGATTTGTGCTTCCAGGGGAGCTACAAAATCAGTGCACATGGGCTATCTCTCAAGCACTTTGAGGTGTGCTGAAGCTATCAGTAGCTACACATACCCTTTATGAGCTGCACATGCCCTGATTTTAGATTAGAGTGAATGTAGACTTTGACCAGGAAACAGAAATATTGTACAGAGGTAAACCTCCAATGTGTTTTACACTAAATTACCCAAAATGCAATAGTTATGTTTGATAGGACAGAATTAAACAAATGCTTTCATCGGACTGATACAAGTAGATTTAAAATGTGATATTTTGCTCTAAAACATGAATAAATTCAAATGTTTGTTGTGGCACTACAGTTTTCACTTGGTTTGTCCTTCTAAATAAAAGTTCTGAACATGGCCAGTTTAGGTGAGAAAGTACTGAATTCAAACAACAGCTCAGACTATTTAAGTGGTGAATATCTTATATGTAGTACATTGGTATTTAGGAGAAACAGACATTTACAGACAAACTAAGATTTATAGAGCTTTTAAAATGTGTATTGAAAACATTCCAGTCTAAAAATGTGCATGGTAGTTAATACAGTGGCTATTTGATAAGCTTTACATTGACAATTTTCACATTCTATGGGTTTTCTAGCAGAGCTGAAATATTTCAGGCTCAGTTGTGCAACAGTGGTGAGACCTACAGCTAATTTCAACGGGGGGAGAAACACTGAATTCAAGGTAAATAACTACATAAGTAGATATGGAAGAAAAAAAGTCATGATCTGAGGCACTCCGAAAAATTATCTATTGTAATATAAGCCGACACAGGGCATAATCAGAAACTTTAACACAGATGTCCCTAAATAGGGAGACGTGCAATCATGTGACATATGTTTTTCTGGTGTGATATCTGTAACAAAGATTTTTGATAATCATATAAAGTCATGAAAAACGAATCATTGAGAAAACTTAAAACAATCTAATAAAAAGAAACTAAAATCACAAAAAACTAAGGAAAGCATAATCACCTCTATATAAAAATAAAATAAAGTAAATAAACAGGGGAAAATTGGGGAGAAAAGAATTGAAAACGAGTCTTCATCTCAGCAGCTTGTGTTCACATTATCAGTAAAGTACCTACTAGATGTTAGACCTAAAAATCAATACTGAAATCATTTAACACCTGATCAACCACCCTAGTACCTAATCTCCTGAAGGACTATATATATATATATATGTATATATGTATGTATGTATATATATGTATATATGTATGTATGTATATATATATATATGTATGTATGTATGTATGTATATATATATATGTATGTATGTATGTATATATATATATATATATATATATATATATACATACATACATACATACGTATATATATATATATATATATATATATATATATATATATATATATATATATATATATATATATATATATATATATATATATAAGCTTTCCTTTTGAGCTAGTTCCCTTAGAATGTCACCTCCCCTGATGTTTCTGTGGATGACTTCAATCACCATCACAGTTACATCTTTGGGGTTACATTGTGGGGAGGAACCATAATTTTTAGCCATAGGGTATGTGACATTGCCTGTTCTGACTGCATTTTTGTGCTCTCTGAATCTGTCACGAAGTCTCCATTATTACATACAAAGGTTATTGCGCCTGTAGAATCCTTAAATGTTTTGTTTTTATTGATTTGGTGGCAGTGATTACAAGAACCACATTGAAAAGTCCCTGTCGACTTCTGAAGTACTGATTGTTTGGAAGATGAGAGGTCATTTTTAACCAGTTTGTCCCTGAGGGTGGGAGCCCTCCTGACAGCAAACATCGGGGTTTCAGAGACAGTCTGCAAGTGAATAATCACTCTGAAGGATGTTCCAGTTGCACCTTATGATCTTTTTGATGTCATTAGAAAGTGTGCTGAACTGTACTGAGCAGACAATCTTTTTTGAATCTCCCACCTCTTTAGTTTTGGTTTGTAGAAGTTGTTCCCTGTTCATGGATCTTGACCGGGAACGTGCTGTATTTAGTAGTTTACTACTATGTCCTCTTTGCTCAAAGCACCTCCATTACAGCAGCTTGTGTTTCAAATACCCCACTGGTGTCCTTCTCAGTCGGATGTCAGATAACAGATTCTGAGGATGAAAACTGTCCACTCTTACAATGGTATTCCTATCTGTGGGTTCTCTGAAGATTGAAGTATGTAGCCGGCTGTCAGAACCCACATAGATATTGAGATCCAAAACATGAATTGTCGTGGAACTGTAATCCAAGCTGAGATTGATGTTCGAGTTGTTGAGGAAGTGATGGAACTCATTCAGTTGATAAATCATACCCGAAAACACAAACAAAAAATCATCAATATATCTCCCATAGAAATTGATGTTTTGTTTCGAAGGATTGGAGGAACACTGAATGCACTTTTGTTCCCAGAGACCCAGAGTCCCCAATTTGGGGCGTATGATGCTCCCATGGCAGTGCCTTTTTTTGTCTGTAGAGCTTATCCCGAAAAAGAAAAACGTTATTGTTCAAAGTCCACTTTGTTAACTCTACAAGGATGTCTGTGGGTGGGTTAAAAAAATCCAGTCTTGTGTTCAGAAAATGACGTAACGAATGGAGACCCACCAAATGATCTATATTTGTGTACAATGCTTCAACATCCATGGTGGTCAAAACGAAATTAGGATCATAGGTTATCGAAGCAAGTTCATTGAGAACATGTGTTGAATCCTGGATATATGAAGGCAACGGTTGTGTAAGGGGCTTTATATGAGAATATTTGGCAGCTGTAAATAACTACATATTGCAAAATGTATTTTGGTTTAACATTTGCTGATGTGATAAAACAATGTGAAAAAGAAGGCCTCGTTTTGTAACTGACCCAGTTAGTCCAGCCATGAGCTCATCAGTTCAGTCAGAATGAATCTTTTTTTCAGAACTTACAAACTATTTTGTAAACATTCAAAGAGTTATCAACAGTTAAATATGATTTCTTTTTCCTTTTTTTCCTCCACATCAAAATAATTTTTTAATTCTAATTCTATTTTATATTGTTTGAAATGTTATTTTTATTTTTGTGCTTGTGAAGCGCCTCTGGATTTTTATTTTGAAACGTGCTTCTTCTTCGTGTTTGTTTACATTTGCATTGCGCACGCGCGCACTGTGAGAAAGCTTCAGTCGCATAGCAACGGTTTGTTGAAGGGTGTCGCTGCAGCCGAACATTAGCATGAAACTCAAGCGTTTTCTTCTTAGATATTACCCACCAGGTAATATGAACCTATCGTTTCTTTCGGTTCTCACGTGACTTTTTTCACCTTTGCAAAAATCACTGCGGTCAAGTGAGCCGTCGTTCGTTTGTCCGTGGTCAAGTGAGCCGCACCTACAATCGAAGTGCGCATTTAAATGGTACTTTACGGTAACACCGTCTCGCTGCTGGAGAAGAGCTGAGATGAGCGAAAGAATGGGCTGAAATCAGGATGACAGAGCTGCTAAATGTGCCTTTTTGATGCACACATACTAATTACCTCGAGTACTACCTGGAACCAACGTATGAACTCCTTTTACTGTGTACTTTTTAAGTAATTGTACTTCAAAGTACGTACAAAAACCTAAACGTGCCGTGTTTGAGATAGGATAAAATGAGATTTGGAAAAAAGGACACTACGAAATCTGGAGATTCATTCCAACTACCTAGTACTATGGTATTATACCAGAAGGTACTATTTTTACTTTTATTGTTCCTTTTACCTGTTATTGTAATTCAAACTAAGTAAAAAAAAAGTCATTTTTTGTGATACAAAGAAAAAGTTTTTCAAAAACGATAAATGTTATTTGACTAACTTGGATTGTAGAGTACAATAATGTAATGTGATGTTTATTTGACATGGACACAGCAATTACATTGGAGTACAATAATGCTTGAAAACCTTCAACTTAATGTTATAGTGTTACATCAAAATCATTTATTCCTTCTAAGAATATATGTAAGACCAATGTTGAAGATTTGTAGATTGTAATTTCTTATGCAGAACTGCCTTTTTCTCACTATCCCCACAATTTGATGAATGACGTAAATATATGGGTTTGTTTTATGGTATCTCTGTGTACATAACATGTATGTGCATGAGCATTTTTGGAAATTACATTTTTCTTAACTTTTGAAACAGCTTGGGGATTTTTTCATTTAATTTGAAGGAGAGTTGCTGAAAAAGTACACAGTAAAAGTAGTTCATACTTTGGTACCAGGTAGTACTCGAGGTACTTAGTATGCTTGTATAGGTGGCCTAGTGTCCTTTTTCCCAAATACCATTTTATCCCATCTCAAACTTGCCACTTTTGGCTTTTTGGACATACTTTTAAGTACAATTACTGAAAAAGTACACAGTAAAATTGTTCATACTTTGGTACCAGGCAGTACTCGTGGTACTTAGTATGTATGTATAGGTGGCCTAGTGTCCTTTTTCTCAAATACCGTTTTTTTCCTATCTCAAACTCGGCACTTTTGGCTTTTTGTATGTACTTTGAAGTACAATTACTGAAAAAGTACACAGTCAAAGTAGTTCATACTTTGGTACCAGGTTGTACTCGAGGTACTTAGTATGTATGTATAGGATGTTTAGTGTCCTTTTTTAAAAACACAATTTTATCCTTTATCAAAGGCACATTTAGCAGCTGTGTCATCCAGGATGACATCCTGATGTCAGCCCATTCTGTCGCTCATCTCAGCTCCTCTCCAGCAGCGAGACGGAGTTACCGTAAACTACCGTATAAACGCGCACTTCAATTGTAGGTGCGGACCACGGACATACGAACGACGGCTCACTTGACCGCAGTCAAAAATCTACCTCTTCTGTTTAGGAATGTTTGAAACGCTGACATTAATTCGCACCTATACATTTGATCTAGTTTTAGCTAGCAAAGCTAAATTTGTGAGAAGCTGCCACGTGCTTGTTTTATAGACCTGGGGTTGAGTTTGGCATATATAAGTGTAGAAGACAACTCCTGCATTTATAGCACGTGTGTGTGTGTGTGTGTGTGTGTGTGTGTGTGTGTGTGTGTGTGTGTGTGTGTGTGTGTGTGTGTGTGTGTGTGTGTGTGTGTGTGTGTGTGTGTGTGTGTGTGTGCAGTGGTGGTTTACCATTAGGCATAGGTCGGCGGTCGCCTGGGGCCCCCTTATGTTGGGGGGCCCCCTAGCCCTGACTGCTGGCACTCCTCTGTTAATGCCACAATGGACTGTTCCTTTAAGCTGCCGATGCACAAACAGGAAGTGATTGGTAGTCATTCCAGCCCAATCCAGCAGGTGGCAGTAATTCACCAAGTTGTTGTTTGCCAAATGCCATAAGACCACAAATAAGAAGAATAAGAGAAAGCAGAAAATGAAGAAGAAAGGTATGAGTGTTCGTAAAAAAGTTGAAGCAGTTGTCAAGATGTAACCCCAGTTACAGATTATCACAATAAATATAGCAATGAATAAATAAACAAAACAATTATAACTTACTGTTGTCTATCAATCAATTAAAAAATCCATCATTCGATTAAAAATCCATCATTCGATTAAATTATTAAGTGCTAGCATCTGAGGGTTTTACATTACAAATAAGTAAATAAATACTGTTAAATTCATATTTACAATTTTATTAGAGAATTAAAGTGTTGTGAGCTGTTGTCAATAAAGTTGATTCAAAATGCCTCCTTAAAGAGCAAGTCACTCCAAATCAACATTTTTTTGCTGATAAACTATATAAATGAGTGTCTGATCGTGCTGCAGACACGTGTGGTCAATAATTCAGCACTTTAGTTCGTCTTACTTAAAATTTAAATATATTCTCTAAAACTGTCAGTGCTGCACCCTCGTCAGGTAAAAACTCAGCTCTGCATTTGAATTTAAAACTGCCGTCGCTATTGGCTAAGAGGTACACTATGATGTTAGATGGTACATTATGATGTCACAATGTCGTGAGTGAGTGTATTTGTTAGCGGCTCCGCCCTCTCGGTCTGCTAGGCAACAGCATTTGTTGCATTTTTCAAACAGGAAGTGGGAGTTGAGTAAGAATCTGGTAGGGGTGACTTGCTCTTTAAAGAAAGAAAAAAAAAACTCCCACAAGCAAATAAATAATAATAATAATAATAAAAAGAGAGAGGGAGTGGGCTGCAGACGTTCAGACGGAGAAGCAGGACAGGAGAGCTGAAGCAGAGCAGTTGAAGAAGCACGGAGAGACCAATGAAACTTCAGAGCCGTAGCTGTGAACTGCTTTTTAGTTCAGTAAAAGAAAACTACATTGGGCCCAAAGACTGAAGAATGGTTACAATCCTGGCCGGTTTGGAGGAGGAGGGACGCTGCAGTTAAGTAGCTGTTGGAGAAGTAGTTCTACGGTGCAGGCTGCGTTAACGAGCCATAAAGCTTCTACCTCGGATAATAAGCAACAGAGATGGCCAGTTTTTTTTTTTTTTTTTTTTTTTTGCCCCGGCAATCACTCAAATCTGCCGGTGTCGGTACAGGATCTGCTCGGGTGCAGGATCGGCTCGGGGACCTTCGACTGCCGATGACGTCACATTACTGCAAATCTACTCGGCTTTCACACATACGTTTTGGAAAGACATCAGCAGTTTTGTTAATTAATTCTTGTTTGTTAACACCTAAATGTTTTCTTTATAATTGTAATTTGTTAATAAAACATCATTTTATCTTTGTTTTGTAAAGAATGTGAAACTGCATAAAACCAACATCGGACTGACAAAAAATAGAACAGTTCTTATATGTGAAGCCACATCTGTTTGTATTAATGAGGAGTTTGTCTGTATATTTCCTTAGTTGTTATCTAAATACATTCTTTGACTCTAAATATTGCTTGGTGTCTTTCAATAAAGTTCTTATATTTTATTTTGCCCCATTTCATCAACATCAAGAGCTTTTGAGGGTCACAGTTTATCATTTGCTTATATTTTACATTTCCTTTAGAAATTCCAACATATTTTCTCCAAAAAGTGTTGATTTTTGGACTACAGGACTACAACCGCTAAGACCACCACCGCAAATTTGTTCTGACCAATCAGAATCATAACGTGACAACGTAACTTCCGTAAGCTTCATGTTCAGCCAATCAACTACTTTGACGTCATCGGCAGTCGAAGGACCCCGAGCCGATCCTGTACCGACACCGGTCTGAGATCAAGGCGAGCCATTACCACCCTACAAGATGTCTTCAGGACCATCGACGGAGCCTTGCTGAGGTGTTGCGTCAGTCCTGCTTCAACTTCCCACATCACTCTACCAGGTCGGAGTAAAACTTGTTGAACACTGGACATTTGTCAACTCTGGAGTTACTCATTTTGTGGAGTACATTGTGGAGTACATCCAGTGGAGTACATTGTTGATGGACAAACGGAGATTTTTCTGAATGCAAAGAATAAGAGTTTGAAAAGTTTTCTTTTGCCGTGTTGATTAACAGTTTGTACTTTAAAGGGTGCATAAGGTGTTGTTTCAAGGTGAAAGAAAACTTGTTGAAATCAGAACCAGAGAACTATATAAACCATGAACCGTGAATTGTTGAGCTTAATCCAGCTTTAAACTCAAGTTAGAGCAATTCAAAATAGGTTTACTTAGGAAATACTTCAAATTAGATGACCGGTCATAAAATTAACTTGAAAGATAGATTAAAGGAACTAAATCAAAACCTTTAGTTGGGCTCTAACCCAAAGAGATAAATGTTAAAAAAATAACAAATGTTATTCAGGGTCATTTCATCCAGCTGAAGTGATATTTCAGTGTTTGTCAACTGTCTGTTTGTTTTTGTATAATTGAATTGCCGGCTTTTCCATTTAAAGTTTTAGTCTCTGGCTCTTATTATTGTTGCTCACTATAGGGTGCCATTTGTAAAGTCAAACAGTCATAATCTAACAGCAATATTTTTGGTTATTTAGCATATCATAAGAGAAAAAATTGAGAGTTCACTTTTTCAAAGTCACATTTTCACCATGTTATTCATACATTTATAAATGTTAAAGTTTCCAAATATATATTTAGTTAGCAAGCTAAATATTTAATTTATAGTTAAATATTAATGTTGCAAACTAAATATTTAGCTGGGATCTAAATATTTTTTTGGGAAAATAAATATTTAATTCACTAACTAAATATTTAATTTACTAATTAAATATTTATTTTGGAACTAAATATTTAAATTGTAAATTAAATATTTAATTTGTAAATTAAATATTTATTTTCCAAAAAATATTTAGATCCCAGCTAAATATTTATTTTCCATGATGTTATTTAGCTCCACACTATATTTTATATTTTTGGGTCGGACTTAAATATTTATTTCCCAAATACAGATTTTGCAAACTAAATGTTTAGCTCCAAAATAAATATTTAGCTGGGATCTAAATATTTATTTCAGGAAATAAATATTTAATTTACAAATTAAATATTTAGTTCCAAAATAAATATTTAATTAGTACATTAAATATTTAGTTGGTGAATTAAACATGTATTTTACAAACTAAATATGTAGATCATACCTAAATATTTAGTTTGCAAAATAAATATTTAACTGCAAATTAAATATTTATCTTGCTAACTAAATATTTATTTGGAAACTTTAACATTTATAAATGTATGAATAACATGATGAAAATATGACTTCGAAAAAGTGAACTCCCAATTTTTTCTCTTATGATATGCTAAAAAACCAAAAATATTGCTGTTAGATTATGACTGTTTGACTTTACAAATGGCACCCCATAGCTCACCACTCCTCAGAACCTAGAACTGGCCCAATAGCTTAATTATCCTTGCTAATAGCGCAGGTGCTACAAAAACATTAAGCATGACATTGAGTTATCCTAGTGGCTCCAATAAGAGAAAGAAGCAGCTTGCTTCAAAAAAGCTTTTATCTTCACTTCCAAAAGTGACGTCATTTTTCTATGTAAACATCAAAAGGAAGTGGAAAAGGAAAGACGATGGAAAATGTTTAAAAGGAGGAAAACAGACCAAAATGGAAAATAGAAGAAAAAAAAAAGAAAGGCAAAAGCACATGAGCACTGACAGGAAGAAGAAAGCAGAGCAATTATTGAAAACACTCAAAGGGAGAAAGACAGGAAAAAAGAGGAAGACTAATAAAAAGTGAAAATAACTCATGTCAGAAGAGGGGAGAGCTTCACAAATCCAGTTAAAGATAAGATTGCTGAAAGTTTTGTGTAAGGGGCCCCATGTCTGTGTTCGCCTTGGGCCCCCAAATGACTAAATCTGCCACTGTATGTGTGTGTGGCTAGCTTAACCTACATTCTTAAAGGCTTCTCTTCCCGCAGGTATAATCCTGGAATATGAGAAAGGGGGATGTATGAGGACCAAATCTATTGACCTACTCCATTTGACTCCAGGGTGAGTTAGTCATGTCCTACAAAAGCAGATCTGTTCAGGAACATTAAAGCTCTCTTCAGCTGTTCTGATTAGAAAACCCTTCTTTACCGGGTAAAATCCTCATTGATAACAGGAACTATGTAACGTCATAACTTGGATGTAAAGAAAATTGCCCGTGGCCTATGTTTTCTATTCCAGCATGCTGTTAATGACAAATTTCCCCTCATTACAGAGCTAATCCAGATGAGTTGGCAGCAGAGATCCAGCAGTCAGAGTCTCTGATCACAGAATCCATGTCTGAACAAGTAAAAAAACTGGTCCTCCGACTGCAGGAGAAACAAGGCCAGCAGGACCACCACAGGTTCTGTTTCTGCAAGGTCAGGCTAAGATCTAACACGTCATTTATATGTAATAAAAACAACATATTCCATTAACAGACATTGACATCCAGGGTAACTGGGGAAAGCTAGAATTCATTTTTATTGTGAAATAAAGGCTGAATGTGTGTAAGATAATGAGTGGTGTGTATTCTGAGGCTGGTCATCTTTGAAGCTAAAATGACTTATTTTAATTTACTCGTCATTTTTTCCCCTCCATCAGGAGCTCAAAGCACACATACTACCGCTGACAAATGTTGCCTTTGACAAACACGGATCGAGGTGAGTCTTTTTGAAGCAGCTCACGCTGTCATGGTCTGTGTCTGCGTCTCACCTCATGTGTCTCCTTTTGTCCTCATTTGTCTCTAGGTTCTCCTTTTGTGTCTTCTAGCGCCCTCCTGTGTCTTTTCTGCATCTTCCTCATGTGTCTCCTGGTGTTCCCCATTTGCCCTCTAGGTTTCCCTCCTCAGACATCCCTCTCCCAGGTCCTGTGCCCTCTTGGCCCCCTCTTAGCCACGCCCCTGTAATTTCTTTCTGTAGTGTTTTCCTTTAGTGTCAGCTTCCCCTTGGAATATTAGTTATGGTTCATGCCTTCTGGTCTTTTGTTTTTCTCTTAGGTCATTTTCCTTTGTTACAGCCTTTCATTATTTAGTGTGTTTTTTCCCACCAGTGTTTTCTTCCTCCTCCCTGATTTAGTAATTGTGTTCACCTGGTCCCTCTCCCCACACACCTGCAATTCATCTCCCTCTCATCTTCCCAGTCTATATAAGCCCTGTCTTGTCTCTGTGTGGTTGTCGGTCCATTGTATTGTTGTCAGTGTGTGTTCGTGCTCTGTTTGAGCTTTTGTCTCCAGGTCTTAGTGAGCTTTTGGTCTCCAGGTTTTTGGTGCTCTAAAAGAGCTTTGGGTGTCCTGTTCTGGAGGACTTTTGGACTTTTGGCCTGCTGCCATATTGGATTACTTTTGTTCTTTCTAAATAAAAGGATTTTTACTTTTACCAACTTCTGCCTCGAGTCATCCTGGGTAATCTGCATATTTGGGTCCTAAACATCCCCGCAACGTGGCACACACTCACCAAGCCAGTATTGCACAAACACGGTTTTAATTCTTTCCCTAATAGCTGAGCATCAATATTAAAGAATAAATGTAACAGTTTATGGGAAGATCACCAGACTGTAAATTTACTACAAATGGAGATGGGATCATAAACAGATATCTCATAGAGAGACAGATTTTAAAAGAAAAGCATGTGCACAAAAAAAAGAAAAAAGAAACAATATTAGTGATTATACAAATATGATTCACAGTTTGACTTAAGCTAAGACAAGAATAAAATAACAATTTGAGAATGCAGCCTATTACAAAAGAGGACATATCTACTGTTAAGCATGGTGGAAGTTTTAGCATGGTGAGGGATGCTCAGCTGCCTTTATCTTTGTTCAAATTCAATTCAAAGATACTTTAGTAATCCCAGAGGGAAATTATCTGCCTTAATCTAACAATTCAAGTTTTGTGTTTGTTTATTGTTGCTTCATTTCTTTCTCTCGTTCTCCAGGTTTATTACAGGCAGCTATGACAGGACTTGCAGAGTTTGGGACACTGCGTCTGGGAAAGAGCTGCACATCCTAGAAGGGCACAGAAACGTAGTTTACGCAGTCACCTTCAACAACCCGTATGGGTAATGATCTGGAGAATATGAGAGCGTGTTTTCTTCTCTCTCTCTTATCCTGAGTGATCTTTAAAACAATGTTAATGTCTCACTTTATTCCCTCTTAGAGACAAGATTGCAACGGGGTCTTTTGACAAAACGTGCCGGCTGTGGTGCGCAGAAACGGGACGATGTTTCCACACGTTTCGAGGACACACAGCAGAAGTAGTATGTAAAGAAGTCTATTTTAACTTTATTTTATTTCTTAACCCTTTCCCGCACCACGGCCAATGCAGATGGCAGCTTTTGAGGTTTTCCTTTATTTGTGAGGAGGTGATGATTGTAGACCTGCACATAAGCCACCACATTTACTGTCTACCCACTGGCTGTGTAGTGAGTGACAATAATGTAATAACAAGTTGTCTTTTTTTGTCTAAATGTCCAAACATTTGTTGTCCACCTTTGTAGACATTTGAAAGAATCATTAAAAAGTCCCTGCTTAAACCATTTTGTGATGGAATTAGCATTTTACGTTTGCACCAGTTTCTGGTGTTAGCTAAAAAATAAAAAGTTAAATATGCATAAAAATAAAATATTAGCATTGGCCAAGACCCCACAGGAGGCTGGGTAATAAGAGTACAGAAAATAATTGACCTGCTTTAGTTTCACATTGAATGTTTTGACAGTGGAGGCAGTGGCGCCCCCAGAAAGTTTTCATGGGGGCTCAGTGAATATTTTAGGGCACACACCAAGTGTGGCAACTCAGGCATCATTTAGCCTTCAGCTGTGACAACATGCACCAACACATTTACCTCAAATTTAACAAACTACATTGTTTCAGTAAAAATAAACGTCTCAGTTATTTAAATTATTTTTAATTCTACATTTATTGTTTTAGCGTTTTAGAATCGTTTAATTTGCCCGTTGCTGTCTGAACAAAAAAAAAAGTTTATATTTCTTTTTTTTAAATGGTGAGCAGCATTGAGTTTATTTACTGGGTTTTATAATTATGCCGTGATAAAACAAGATGGTTTATTTGAACATGAAAATTGTTTATGTAAGTAGGGTAGGCCCTCGCTGGGGAGCCAGTGGGGTGGCCAGCCATTTTCCAGTGGGATAGGGGCCTTGGCCACCCCTGGCCACCTTTTGGGGACACCAGTGATTTGGAGCCTTACTTTATTCGAAATTATAGGAAAATTCAGCAAAAGAAAATGTAAAAACATAAATTTGTGTTGTGTAGGTTTGCTTGGCGTTCAACCCCCAGAGCACATTGGTGGCAACAGGCAGCATGGACGCCACTGCCAAGCTGTGGGATGTGGAGAGTGGGCAGGAAGTGGCCACCCTGGCTGTGAGTTTGAAGTCCTCGGAATTCACTTTTTTATTTTCTGTAGCTGGATTATGACTCATGTAGATCTATTGTATAAATATTAGTTATTAAACTGCCTAATAACCCCCTTTGGGCCATACTGAGTCTGGTATGCACACTGATTGTGTGATTGGTTTGCTGGTTCAGTCTCTGAGAAGTTATGCAATCCTCAAGCTTTATTATCATTAGAAAAAAATCAGGCTAGACTCAAAGTTTAGCTTTACTTTTCTGATGTTTGTTTTCAGTTTATTTGCAGTCAAAAGCAGAGAAAATATAAAAAATATGTAAGAAAACACAATAATTCAATGATTCTCGTGTTTCCTTCTTTCCATTTGTTCCAGGGACACACAGCAGAGGTCCTCTCGCTGTGCTTCAACACACTCGGCAATCTTCTTGTCACCGGCTCATTTGACCACACTGCTGCCGTGTGGGATGTTGCTTCCAAAAGGTTCTGGATCTTGGATACTCATTACTAACAGGGATCCTGATTACGACACTGTAGTTAAATTCTTTTTTTTTTCTGTTTGCATCTTAGACGAGTTTACACTCTGATTGGTCACATGGGAGAAATAAGTAATGTTCAGTTTAACTGGGATTGCTCCCTCATAGTATCTGGTTCCATGGATAAAACCTGTAAGGTGAGCTCTACGACTCAGAAGTGCGTGTTTACACTTTTTGTATACTTACTCAGCAATGTCTCACATCACTGGAACCACTTTGGTATAAAATAAGTTGTTTGTTTCAAATTTACTGCGAAAGGAACAGCTCGTCGCACGTCCTCTCTCTTGTCTTTAAGGTTCCTGTCACTTTAGGGGGAACAATTCTAATCAAATTAGTTAATTATGCCAAGATGACTCATGCTCACAAGTAGAAATTATCCACTTCACGGCTCATGCTTAAGGGCTGCAGTGGTTGAAATAAAGCCGTCCCTGACAGCCAGCAACAACATGAAAGCATATATTTTAAGACTCACATGTTTAGGTGTGTATTTTTTTGTCCTTATCTAACTTCTGCATGATTGAATTTCATCGTGAGTTTCACTGCATAATTTTACTAAAACCAGCTTTTAAATTAAAGGGATGCAGCTAATCCTTAACTTTAATTTCAAACAGGCATCAGATACATTATTTTAAAAACAATGCAGTCAATTTAAACCGATTATAACCAAAGCTTGTAGGATTGTCCATTCTAAAAAGGAGACTACTGCACAAACCTTTACATTTAATTTGGACCTAAACTTGATATGAAAAAAGGTTATTTTGTTTAATTCATGCAGAACTGTTAACTTTTCTGATGCGTTTGAAGCACATTCTGACCCTGATGAAGAAAACAACTCAATAAAGCTGACTTGTGCATGTTTGCAGTTGTGGGAGGCCGTCAGTGGGAAGTGTGTAGCCACCCTAGTTGGACACACACAAGAGGTGTTGGATGTGTGTTTTGATTTAAGTGGTCAACTCATTGCTTCTGCTTCTGCTGACGGTAAAGATCCATCCTTATTATTACAGTTAGTGTTCTTTACAGACAGTCTCTCTTTTGTAGTACTATTGTATTTGTGTAATACTTAAAATTAGGATTCCTGGAAACAGAATCTTTTCATACGTGAAAATGTAAAAGAAATCCTCGCTGTCCCTCTTTTAGGTACAGCTCGAGTGTTTAGTGCACCCACACATCAGTGTCTGGTGACGCTAAAGGGCCATGGCGCAGAGATCTCCAAGGTACGCCAGCGAAACTCAAACAGCTATCCCAACACAGTCACGCTATGTTTAGCTGCTTTGCTATAAATTATTGCATGTAACAGTAAATTTAGTATTACGTTAATATTGATTTAAAAATATTTGCAATGAAATGTTTTAAATTTTGATCATTACTGAAACACAGGTATAATTAAAAAGGTTTCACTAATAATACTGGTATTTATGGATGTTAGATATCATCGCTCTAACATTAATATCAACTGTAAAATGTCATTTCGGAACATATTGGTATTGTTTTCAGTCTCTTTTTAAAACACATATTAGACATCAAAGCTACTTCTCTTTCTCAGAATGATAACACATGACAGATCTGAGGTAAGGTTTCTGAGATATTTTAGCACAACTTGTGAAGTAGAAATTTGCACTGTGTAGTGAATCTACGCTGTCCTCACAGCGGATAGCTACATGTAGCTAAGCAGCTAACAAACAACTACAAAACAAGAATCTTCACCCAAGGTTTGATTTTCTTATCTGAAGGTCTTCGTATGTGGTTTTTTTTCCCACCAAAGCTGCAATATACAGACAAAAAACTAATGCATTACTAAGTAATAAATACATCGTCACTTTTCCTATTACTAACTTAAATTGAAGTAGTAATTTTAGCTGTTTTCTGTGGTCTTAAACCATCAATTTGACTTTTTACCTCTGGTCTATAAACTAGTGTTACACGTAAAACCCACAGCGGAAAAACAACTCTTTACCTGGTGTTACGTTGCTCTGTGAAGCCAAACCGACTGAGACCTGTGTGTAATTTGCTTTAGTCTAGCCTTGTTTCGACCCTGTTCTATAATGAAACTGATTTGCCACCATTTGCTATTCATGAGCGTGTTTCCTTCTGGATCTGGCTCAGAGGGGTTTGGGTTCTCTGGATGTGTTTACTGAAACACAGAGTGAGTTAATAAATAGTCTGGATGGTGGATGATCCCACAGGATTATGACTCTAATCTCTCCCTTAGAGGACACTTCTCCCCCTCCCCTGCACACTCTTTTTCACCCTTTTTCAGATTTTTTACTCCCCTTTCTAGTTTACTATCTATTTCTCTCTGATTGCATTATGTCTTAGTGCCACTTTGCACCAGTCCACCTTGATCCTCCGTTATCATATAAAATGTTCATGCACTGCTAACAGAATTGAAACCAATGCTTTTATGTTATATAAATAAAAGAAACTTGAATTGAATTGACTTGCTTTAACATGTCAGGAATTTACAAGATCTTTAATTTTGTAATTTTGTAATAGCTGCTTGTTGCTGTAATCATTCCCATCTTGGATCCTCCATTAGCTTTTTTCTTAAACATCAGGCCTAAACTCGATCTTCTTCATTAGATTTATTGCCTACAGTAACTTCAAATGTGAAAGGAAGAAATTCAGATGTTTACAGACCCTTGTGTAATAATTTATATAATAAATCTGATCATCTAATCTAATCCACTTTACATAAACTAGACTGTGAGGATCGGAGTAATATAATTTCCCTCTTAGCACACCAGGTTACACAGTGCCCACCATTAGCTGACAGTTATAAAACTACAGATGCAGATTTTATGAAATCATGACAAAGGTTTTGTCCTGTTGGATTTTTAAGAACGCGTAGCCACAACCTCGTCAACAAGAGGCTCCAGTCAGAGAGATTAATCACAGAAGCAGATATTAAATTTATAAATTTACTGGGAGGCTTAACTTGTGTCCATTTAAATCGACTCATGCACGAGTATTTGTGTGGTATCTGCAATAAAACAACGGCAAACACCATGAGTTAAATGCACAAAAGCTAATAAAGCCATGCTGCTAACTCTGTTCCATCACAGCATGCTACGTTAGCATACCTAGCTCAACAACACATAGCAGTAGCCTCACTCGGTTAACTCAAATGAGAATTGCCTTAACTACCACTGGAATGGTTATTTACACTTTAGCAGAACACTGGTGCGGTGAACCTGTAACATCACCTGACACTGCCCTTTAGTGGGAAATCAGCACACCAAAAGTGAAACGTTACTAGAGTTTGGGAACATTTGGGGTCACGAGGAAGCAAATTACATCTGTGTGCAGCATAGTAGCTAAAAGCAGCATCACCCTGTTTGGTTCTGACCCGGCGTTCTAGCTGACTGCTTCCTAAGGATCTCAGAGCCCTGTTGGGTGTATATACAGGAAGGACTATTGAAACACTGTTGAAAGTGCTTTAAATTGCCTATGTCCTTGCATTTTTACCCCCATTCTCTTAGATTCAGCACACCGTTGCTCATGTAGAACACACTTACCCCTGAATGAGGTTAACGTTATATTTTATCTCCATAGATCTGCTTCAGCCCTCAGGGCAGCAGAGTCCTGACGGCCAGCTCAGACAAGACGGCCCGTCTGTGGGATGTTCATTCCGGAGCCTGCCTTCAAATCCTGGAGGGCCACACTGACGAGATCTTCTCCTGCGTCTTCAACTACGAGGGTGACACCATTATTACAGGTATCCATGGAGACAGCACATCTGACTGCCACATGTGAATCTGACAACCTTGCGTCTTGTGGTAAAAATGTAAGGCCCTGAGGGGTAAATACATTTCTCCACACCTGATGCTGCAAGTGTTTAATTGCAAATGCTAAGGAAACGCATGCAGCTGCGTCCTTCTGTGCAACCACCTTTTTGTGTTTGTTCTCCCTACAGGCAGCAAAGATAACACATGTCGGATCTGGTACTGACCCTTCCCAAGACCCATCAGAGGCTCAGGCGCATCAACACCACAGTTTTGGACATGGGTCACTTTGAATAAACAAAAATAAACATGTTTATAAACTCACACAGCTCCTTAGCTATGTGCAGTTTGCAAACACTTAAAGCTACAATGGTAAATTTGGAAGCTTATTTTCATGCCTCTTAACAACATTCTACTGTGATATAGCTATAGACGTGTTGTGCAGATTAAAAGTAAATAAAATGGAAAAAAATAATGAAAAAAGTTGTTCTCTCACATTTGTCTAAAAACCACCATCAATAACACTTTTCGGTCCAAAATCAACAATTGGCCCATTTGGTTGTTTGAACCACTGGACTTCCCTGGGTCCTCCATTATCAAACACTCACATATTTAGCAGCACAACACCACTGGTGTGAGAGGATCTCCGCTCAATAATATCAGGGGAGGAGAAACAGCCGGCTGCTACTTCAACTTTAGGGCAAACTACCAGAGTCACAAAAAGAAAAATACCATTTGATGTCACAGAAAACAAAAAACATTTGAACTTGGAAAACGGTGACTGGTGTTTAGCATCATTTCGTTTCCTTTGGCATTGTGGGCTCCAGGTTCCGATGGAAGCATCTTAGGGAAGATACCCGAGGGGAGGGGAGAGCGTTTCGTGGCTGAGTTTGCCTTCAAAACCTAGCTTGATTGCAGGTTTGCTATAACAGCTTTAACATTACTTGCTAATGTCTGAGCTGAAACAAAACACTTGGATCAGGCACAGCGGTGGAGGAATGGGGTTGGGCTTGAAGCCATGATGTCAACCATGAGACCCACCGCACACCAGAGCCAAAGTGTAAAGGAGTATCATGCAATAATGCAAAGGAGTCGAAGAGAAGCATCATGGCTGAAAAAGACGAGTAAAGTGCTGCAATAGTTTCTTATGAAGAAGCTGTGTTGAGGATTTTGGAGAGCAGAGATCAAAGCGTTTGACCTGAAGCAAAAATGTAAAAAAATGCAAAAGTGGGCCAGCATTTCTCCACAACAATCTGAGAAATGGAAACTGCACAATATTTAAGCACGCTACTGCAAAAGGGGATTTGATCAACTATTGCCATATATAGCTATTATATGATCACTTTTTATTGTTTATCTAATGTTTAATGTGTAATATTTACCAAGGTCAACAAATCAGACGATGTTTATGAAAAATCGTTTCAACAGGTATGTTTTCTGAACAATAAATTCAACAAGTGTTTCTCTAATAAATCATCTGTATCTTTCACTTTAACTGCCTTGTGAGTTTTTACTTCTTCATTAAACTTCTCTGAAGGGTGTTAGTAATATTCTAAGATTTTGTGGCTATTGCACACAAACTTGAGTTGCTTTAGTGGAGACATCAGTGTAATTCTGTTCTTGTGTTTCCAAAACAAAAACAACAAAACGGCTGTTTAAAACTGGATCACCACTGATTACTAGAGCAGAAAAACTAGCCGCTGCACAGACACAGATCAGCTACAAGTAAAGATCTGATTTGATATTCTTCTCCGGTTTGATAAAAGACTACACACTCTTCACATCACAGAAATTTATTGATGTCAAAAGAGAAATACATTCAGTTCTACTGTGACCGTTTATAGCTGTAGGGTGTGCGCCCCCCCCCCCCCCCCCCCCCCCGGATGCTGATGCAAGACCAGTTTACCACTAAGTAGAGAAATAGACAGACTAGATCCACATACAAATTCAACATTACAAATCTTACTTTGCCGTTTGGACAGAGTAAAAGCTAAAGAGAGCAGTCCACTACACCAAGGTGCAACAGTTCCAAATCTACAGTATTTACAAAACAGCTATCCAAAATAATCACTTCTCAAGAAAACGGTAAGAAACATCACAGGAATGTCAAAATAGTCACAAGAAGGTAGTACACTGCCCAGTGAGGACGACAAGAACTTGGACACTTTGCTTAATTCAAGCAAATTTACACATCTGAGTGGAAAGAACAACAAAGTGGCAGATTTTCTGTTTTTCAGCAGTTTATAACAAGTTTAGACATGTAAGGAACATTTAACCTGATTTTCCTATTTTCTGATAGTTTTTGGATTTCTGTGTGTTCATTTGGAATAAATAAATGCATGATTTGATTGTAAGAATCTTTATTCTGAACGGTTAGCTTTAAGTTTGTGCACAGCTCATTAGAGATACAACATGCTGGAGTTAAAGGGAGACTCTATGAATCATGGCTACAAACTGACAAACCTTCAAGAACCAGGTGAGTGAGACACCTGTTGTGATGAGATGGAGGTGAATGCTTTTACGGATGGATTCCAAATATACTATGGTCTTTCTGTCTGCAGATGGAGGACGTTATTGAGTCCTAAAGGATGTCCAAAAGCCAGTCAAATAGGCTGGCCTGGATAGCCTGTCCCGCCTCTTCCTCGTGAAGCTTGCAGAACTGAACCACGGCGCTGAAGAGGTCCTTGATCCGCCATGCCTTCTGAGCCATCAGGTGGACCACCCTCTGAAACTGAGATAAATTACATCAAATCTAAAAGTTTAACATAAAGAACTTCTGTTTGAAAGAGTGTATCATCAGCTTCAACAGCTCGCATGTCCACACCTTTACCACTTTCTTCTCTTTGGACTTCCTGAAGTAGAGAGCAGGAAGTCCTAATTCAGAGGCAGCAATCCACTGCAGGGCCACTCTGAGCTCAGAGTCCATACGCTCCTGCTCCAGGTTGCAGTTTACCACCAAAAACTGCCTCAGGATGCTGCTGCCACCTGCTGAAGGTCCTGCAGGGCTCTCTGAAACATCAAAAGCGCAGAGATACACTACAGCTCATCATTCAACATCAAAATAGTATGGGACTGCAGAAATAATTCTCTTTTTATACTCTGGCATTAAAAGTAATACCTAATACTGCAACATATTGAGTTTCATAAGAAATAATCTAACTTTTGATCATCTTAAACAATTAAACAAGAACTTATTTTTTGGTTAAAACCATCAACTACTTCTTTTTTCCAACATTTCAGTTCATTTCAAGTTGTAGTTTTTCCCTTAAAACAAGAGCCTGGTTTACTACTGTAGTTTGCTGGATATTAATCAGCAGAAAATATTTCTAAACTTTTGTTCTCACGTCTTCCAGTGTTGGGATCAGTATTAGTGAGACGGCTTGGAGACTGTGTGATTACATTTTACTTTAAGCAGATTTCTCACCACAAATTACAAATGGGAGTTAAAGAAATAAGAATGCAGCTCATGTAGAAATGTTTTTTGTTGCAAATTAAATAGAACTGATGTCTGGGTTGAAGTGGTTTAAACAATAAATCTTGCAAAGTGAAAGCAGAGATGATTAATGACCAATTTCACTCATGTTCGGTGCATTTGCTGCTACATTTGCTCTCTAGTAAAAATGAGAGTCAATCATTGTTGGGGATAAAATACTCTGGCGCTCCTGTTTCAGGAAGTGGAAGTAAGTCGGACGAAGGGGAGCAGAACAGGACAGGATTTAGAGTATTGCTCATTATTATTTCCTGATATTTGGACATGTCAACTCTATTGGCTAACAGCAATCTGACTTTACCACTGACTCCAATTACTTTGCACTGTTGATTTTTTTATCTCAGCTAATAACTCAAGCCTGAAGGAGTTCTACTGTGTGGTGGAGTTGCTAATGCTAACCGTTAGCTGAGATGTGCTCTGCTCTCTACTGGACGCTAAACCAACAACCCCCAGCCCGAGCCAAGATGGCTGAGTCCATGAATGCTAATTTCCACTGTGACGTAGATCTGACTGGCTTTTCTAATCCGAATGTTTTCCATCAGCAGCAAATGCAGAAAATAGAGATAGAAGACTATTTTCACATTTAGCCTGCATGTTAAACTCAGCAAGATCAATCATAATGAAAAATAATGAGTAAAAAAAGTTTTCTTGATGAACTTGCCATTTAAAAATGGCAACTATTGGAGTTGACGAAGCAGAGCTCATTGAACTTCTTTGTAAAAGCAGATTTTAACTAAATAACAAGCATCTAGTCAGAATGTAACTGGGCTGTGATAACGTGCCAACAGGATGGTAGTTTTCAAACATTCTTATAACATCTGCAAGGGTTCTTTATTTTTCAAGTGAGCAGGACCCAGCTCTTGTGTGAGATGAAAGTCAAAGAAATGTTAGACAGGTCACCAAACAAACCTACTTTGTTATAAAATGAGGGAAGTTGTAAACTATTTGAAACAAAAATAACATGTGTGACTAAATTGCAACAAGAGAATCGGCTCAACGTTAAAGATTTGTTTTGTTGTCATATATAGAAAGTGTCCCAAAAAGACAATTCTGTCTTTCCAATGAGTCACCAGCAATGAGACCAGCAAAATCCTGACAAAGTAAAGAATGTTGCATTGCTAACCTTTTTATGGTAACTAGAAAAAACACAAGAATCCTTTACTACACACTTATCCAAAGGGCTTTTGAATGAAGGCAACTAGACTTTGGTTTTGTTCAGCTTCTCATCCGAGGAGCTTTGTCAATTCTGACTAGAATATGGGAGGGTCAAGCTTATAAACTGTAGTTGTCTGTTGTTGCTTAACTCATTCACTGCCATTGACGAGTCGACTGAAGTCGTCATTTTTGATCCAACCGTTCACTGCCAATGACGACTATAGTCATTTGCATTTTTTTACTGTTTGGGCATCGGAACGAGCCCCGGCGCCTAGAGAACAAACATCTCAGCTCTGAAGCCGATCTTCAACCCCATGCGTCACACGTCACATGATCAGGAAGCAGAAAATCCATGTGTTAGGATCATGAAAGAACGGATAACGCTCAAAACACGCGGATTCTTCCTGATGTAAGAGGTGAGTTTCCGCTTTGTTTTGGTTGTTCTGGCGTCGACATCATCCTAGCGCGCAACCTTCTGTCACTCTTAAAAAAACAGTAAAAACAGCGAGAAATGCTGGCAGCGAAGGCCTTTAGCAATCAGGAAACGTCTGGCAGCGAATGAGTTAAGGAGCAGAAACTACTGAAGGTGAAAAAGTACACATTCTGGACAGAGAAGATAGATGGTTTGAGAGAGGAGCAAAATAAGCTATCCATGGCAAATAGGAAAGACTTACATAAATAGAAGAGGCAGCCTCAGGTTTCACCTTTCCAGCACCTTTAATGCAGGTTTAATCCTTAAACAGTTTCAGTCTAGGTCACATCCTCCTGCATCTAATCAAAACAACCCTTCTAATACAATAGAGCATAATGACAGAAACAACTCCTCATGGGTTAGGAGGAGGGGTATTCATAGGTAGTTTCTGCTCCTTAAGCAACAACAGACAGCTACAGTTTATAAGCGTGACCTTCCCATTATCCTGCCAGAATTGACAAAGCTCCTTGAATGAGAAGCAAAATGTCTTCAAGAATCTAAAGAAGTCCAGTTGCCTTCATGTGAACCTTTTGGATTACCATGACCTGGATGACTGAGAACCTTCACCAGCTTAACTACACTTACCATGAACATTAGCTTTGGCTCCTGCCGAAGATATTTCCTCAGTCACTTCGCTGTGAGGAGATAAACAGTAAAGAGTCAAGGTTACGGCAACATTCACTGTAAGGCAGTGTTTAACACTTCAGGTGATGCATTTGCTCAGTTTCTTGTAGTTTCTCATGTAGCAAAAGCTATGCAAAGGCCAAAGATTTAGATAGGAATGCATACAGATTCAAATAGGACAAATGTTGCAATAATAAAACAATGTTTGCACTAGTACACCACACATATCTGTCCACCATGTCCGAGGGTGAGAACACAAAAACAACATGCGATCTGCAGTTTTTGTTCAAATAAACAACCCTGATGGACGTGGATCATACCTGATGACTGTGCTCTGAGTAGGGACTTCTGAAAAAGCATCCAGGTCGGTAAGACCCAGGCTCGATGTGCTACTGGTACCATTGCTGCAATAAAAAAAATAAAGGAAGAGGCCATGTCACGGTCTATGTATGTTATAAAAAGAACAGGATGAAAGCAAAAGATCAGAGGGATGCACACTAGTTAGCTAGCTTATGGTTAACATGTAAAGGAGCAGCTGTAGCACAACTGGACGTTTAAAGCTGGAGCGGCTGCTAAATACTGACCAGCAGTGAGCTTGTCTGAATATGGGGATGAGAAGATCTGGAGATAGTTTGGGTGGGTAGGGTGGATAGGCCCTCATGTTACGGCATGGGTTCGGGATGAGGTGAGGTTAATGCAGCACTTGCAGGAGCAGCAGTTTCTATGGGGGTGCTATAACAACCAAATATCACTGCTACACAAAACGTCTCAAACTATCAGTAAACAGCTTCAGAAGCATGTGAACAAGCAGTTAAATATTTAGGGATGTCCCGATACAATGTTTTTCACTTCCAATACGATACCGATATCAATCCGATATATCAGCAGAAATCATACATACTTTTACGTATTTCATAGTGTGGAATGTACGTCTAAAGTTTCAGTTTCACACACTGCAAAAATCCTCGTGCAATGTTTTGTGATCCTGCTTCAAATGAAACCACGATGAGGTTGGACGTATTCATCTTCCCCGGTTCTGTTCCACCACAGGAAACTTGTACATGACAAGTGTTGCACTGAACCAAACGGTCTTTTTCGGACTTTAATGAAAAAAATACAGCCACATGGCCAACATTGTTCCTTGCTGCTTTGCTAGCACACACTGTTCTGATCACGTAGACGTTGCATGCTGGATCTGGGCGCAGCTGGATAGAATTGCTGGACTGGAATTTGAAGCGGAACAAACTGCTAATATCGGAGGTTTGTGATGCAGTCTGATATATTCCGATACAGTGTTTCTGGGCCGATATCGATATCGGAACGGGACATCCCTATAAATTATGTCAGGACATTTTAGGCCATTACTGAAGCATTACGTTTTTATGCAACAAGACTTATGTTATCAGCTTGTTCCATCTTTATATGCAAATTTGATAAATCAGAGAATGTAGTGATGAATGTTCTCATCTGAACACTTGGTATGCAACACCACAGCCCTGTACCACTGCAGCATATTAGCATAGCTCGGTTCCACTGCAGAGTTCGAGACGGGTGAGTTGGGCCGCTGTTTTTTCTGTCCCAAATATAAAACCGGTATAAGACCTGGACCGCACCACTGACGGTACTTTCGTGGCCGCCTTCTGTTGTAGGTCCATATCTTTGTGGAGCAGTATGGTTAGGGACAGAAAAAATACTATGTCATTACAAACAAAACAAACCTCTGAGTTCCGTTGTTTCTATTTTCATTAGTTGCACACCGATGTGAGAAAATGCCAGTAGGTAGCAGCAAGGTTTGATCAGCTTCAGAGCTCCGCATATTCCTCACCATTGTTGTGTGAGTCCAAACTCAGGACGAGCTAGGTGGTTCGGTAAGAAACGCACGTTTTTAAACAAGTTTCTCAGTGAATGACAGCCAAAGGGTTCGATAAGAAGTCGGAATGGTGTCGGGCCAAGCTGAAGAAATTGAAAGCCCAATATAGAAAAGGATAGAAACAACCGGAGTGGAAACGGGAGACATACATGGAGGTGTTACGATGCGCTGGAGGCTATTTATAGCCACAGACCAGCAAACTGAGGCAGCGAGGCAAGCCTGGACTCAGATCGCAAGTCACTTGTTGTCATGATCCGCCCCGGCCTCCCTGACTGTGTCTCTCCTGCCCTGATTAGCCTTATTTTTCTCACCTGTCCCTCATTACTCTGCCCATGTGTTCCTGATTCCCTTGTGTATTTATACCTCCCTCCTTGTTGCTGTCTTTGTCGGTTCATTGTCGTTTGTGCATGTTCGTTTGTCCTGTTACTCCCAGTCTACGATTAAACATCTTTTTATTTTTTCATCCGTTTGCCTGCTCTTCTGCCTCCTGAACACCACCACCACACATGGTCTGCCATCTCCACCCGCAGAACATGACACTTGTGGCGCCTTTAGGTAAGCATTTTTTTTTTGTCTTTAGCTCTGCAGACCATTTTTGCAGCACAAAAATACGAAATAGTTGCACAATTTATTTATAAAATGGTGCATAATGCACGATGGTACATTTATCCCCACCTGCCAACATGAGAGCCCAAACTGTCATAGAAAGTTTTACCGATATTGCAGACCCATACAGGTCCATGTTGGCCAACGCGCACCCGCCCCATCCCGTCTTGAACACCACAGTGGGACAGAGACTTTAGAGCTGGTCTGGGACGCAGGCAGGGTCAAGTCCTGTATGATTTTATTTGGAATGAGCTCTTTGCTAAACACTAGCTGGTGTTGGGTACTGCAGCAGCAGCAGCAGCAGCAGGACGATGGCTGGCACGTAACACAACTGTCAGTAGCAATGGACCAATGAGTGGGGTGAGGGTGGGAGCAGCAGCATTTGGAGCAGCATCGAGGAGCAATAGTTACTGACCCCTCACTCAGCTGGATAAAACTACTGGTCTCCTCGTGGGGGTCATCTTCAGGGGTTACATGAGACCAGCTCCCCATGCTCTCTTCACTGCTAGCACTCATTGAACGCTTGTCCCTCTTCACTACTGCAGCCACCGCCGCAGTCGACCTGTCCCTCTCACTGCTGGGGAGAGCAAACCGCAAGATGCACAATGTCTGCTGCAACTCTGGGGATTGTTCCCACAGATTCACTTTTTATGTATAGAAGTTTGTAAAATGATGAAGCATTAAAAACAACGGGGTGAATTACACACGAATTACACACATTACGTTCTTATAAACCTCAAACCTGTGAAAATTGAAATGATTGAGCGTAAATTAAATCAAGAAAATAAACAAAAAAAACCCCTCATTTATTTAAATATCTTATAAGAATCAGCAAACCATATTACTCATGGGTACCGCTGTGTTCCGAAGTGTTTTCTTTTTTCTTTTTACTTATTAAATTAAGTCATAATTAGATGTTTGAGGGCTGCCATCCTCAACAATTCAAGAGGGAAATCAGGTTTAATTGAACAGGCGAGTGATTGAGTCCTACTCTCACACAAGGGACTAGCAGTTGCACTCCACTTGCTTCTGGATTACAGGTTTTGTGAAGTGAACAGAAGCGTGTCTTGTGACTCTGGAGGCCAGCGAGACTGACAGCTTTTGCTTTCACTTACCGTTAAACGCAGCGTATTTAGAGAATCTTTACTGAAAAACACATAACACAACTGGATAAAACTTTTCATTTGTCTTCATTTCAAGATATTAAAATTAATTATTTATTTTCATTTTCCAACAATCTATGTTTTGTCATTTCATCAAAATGACGAACAGCTAACACATAACAAAACGGACATAAGTTAGGGACAAGTTATGATTATTTCACTTTCTTTGTCTACGTTTAAAACGACCTGGAGTAAACCTGCTGGATGAGGATAGGAACTAGCTTTTAGGCCAGTTTCTACTTTTGGAACTTCTGGGTAGTTTTACTGGAACTTTGCGGCATGCGTGTGTCTATTTCACTGAACTTGCTCGAAAAGACCATTTTCTGGGTCATACGTAGTAGCTGAAGTGTGGTAGGTACTCACAAAAACCCGCTAGACTAGAGTGAGACTTCTGGTTAATCCACGCTGATTGGATGTACAGTTGGTACGGAAAGTGTTCAGACCCCACCCCCCTCCATTTTTCACTCTTATTTATATTGCAGCCATTTGCTAAAATCAATTAAATAGATTTTTTTCCTCATAAATGCACAAACAGCACCCCATATTGACAAAAAAACGTAGAATTTTAGAAAGTTCTGCAGAGTTTTTAAATAAGTATCAGTGATGTCACTCATTGCCGAAGAAGTGGTCATTCATTAAGAAGTCCTGAAAGAGCTCATTTTGTATTGAGACACAACAGCCGAGAAGACAGAGCTGTCGTGTTTCCTGATCACTCCCCCCCCCCCCCCCTCTTCCCAAAAATTTCCCAGAGCTCCTAAAGTGGAAACACGCTGATTGTCTCTACCCGGAACATTCATTGGTACGCATCTGTTTCATTCAAATCAGTGTCTTGAAAAGTCTAATCTTGCATAAGATAAAAAGGTTTTCTGCTAACTCCTACACGTTTCCTTGTTTAAAGTAAGTAAAAAAAAGTCCTGCAATTGACTGGCTAAGATGTATCCAACCAATCAAAACTCTGTAAAATCTCAAACAATGAATAATAAAAGCCTTTTTTCCCTGATAATTCTTCCTGAGAGGGACATATAAACAAAATAAAAACTCAATAGGACAAGAAAAAAGCTCCAAATGATCAATTTTGTTGTTGCAAGAGTCAAAACATTCATCTCTCAAAGACAACAAGGGGCTAAATGTAAAATTGCAGAAAAAAAGGTCTTAAATAATACTAGACTGGAATTTCTAATGTTGCACTGATCTGAAACTGCTCAGTTGGTAAAGAAACGGTAAAGTAGAACCGATTCCCACTAAACACCAGAGTGGTGGCAACAAAACGTTTCAGAATCAGACCTGAGTAGAAAAGAACCTTTGTGACATTTTTAATTAAATGATAAATAAACACATAAAAGGTTGAACAACAACTAAATACAATTCATTAGTGTAACAGCAGCCTTTTCCTGTCAAATTTAGAAATCAAATTTGGGGTATGTCAGTTTGTGGGTTTGACTGTACGAGTTTATTTTACCATTAATATACAGATTTTTTTTACACATTGGCAATGCCAAGTCAACATGTTTACCCGTTTCATTTTATGTCATATATTTACCATCTGTGGTCCAGTCTTCATTTTACTCAGATGTTCTCAAAATTCAGTTTTGTATAAAACCACTGAAGACTTTGTGCCTTTAGAGTTAAAACTAAATGTTGCCACTCTGGTGCATTGTTCTCTTGTTAAAATCTGTATTTGGTTTGAAGAATACATAGAAGAACGATGACGTCCTGTTGTTTTAGCTCTGTCTTAGTGCTATGAATACCTTTGTGTGCATTGGTGGTTTTAGTGAGGTATTCCAGAATGACTAGAGCTTGTCCTGATTACCTGGGAGCTCAACAGGATAAAAGAGGAAGACTCTAAAGCCCTCTGCACACAGAACATCACTCAGAAGGCATGAGTCACAGCCTAGCTGTAACCTTGTCAAGCCTCACATGTTGCTAAAATAGATCAGTTTCCTGATTTCTGAGTCGCCCAGGCTTGGATCCATCTCTATTAATAGCTCAGTGTGCTCTAGTCCCTTTCTAATGGGTCATTTTTGTTCAGCTTTGTTTATTGTAAAAATAACAGTGTGGCAATTTCACTCCTTTGCTCATTATCTGACAGAATGATTTCTTCTTTCATGTCAACATAAAAACGTTTTTTCTGCAAACTATGAAAGTCTTTTTGATGAAAGATGGTTCTGAGTCATATAGGACTGTAAGTAATACCTGCTGTTATTGGCAATTGCTCTTTCCATACGTGTAGTGTCCACAGATGCTTCTTTAGGTCCTCCAACTTTTTCAGGGATCAAAAGAGCCTCCTCAACCTTTTGATCTCCCTCGATGTGGATCAACGGAACATCTCTGGGACCCCTCATGCAAGAAATACTGTTTTCACTAGCCCCGGATCCTTCTCCAGGGCAAGGTTGCTCCTGACTGGACCTGCTTCGACTACAAGTTAGATGAGACTGTTTGAACCCCTGTCTCCTTTCGCCAACAGGCATGTGCGGCTGTGGATGCGATCCAGGAATCCCCACATTCACATCCTGCTGTGCTCCAAGCGCAGACTTGCCAATGTCTACAATGTCAGCTGCCAATCGATTAGCAAATTGCTGCACGTGGAGCTGAGAGTCTCCTGAAGCCTCTGACTCAATACTGTCCTCTGGATCAGCAATGATCTTGTTTTTTCTCATCAAGGACTCAATGGAGCTCGACCACGTCTCATGGATGAGCATATCTGTAATCTGGTCTGTTTTACCTCTTCGATAGAGGCAAGAGTCAGACTTGCATAGTCCTGTAGCAGACACAGAGCTGCTGGGGTAGATGTTCAACGTGTCTCCATAAACGTTACGGGCAAAACCATCAAACGAGTTAGCCTTTATGGGTGAGTTGACAGTTAGTCGTGAGTCTGAGGAGCGCCTGTCTGGAACAGAAGACTGTCGTATGCAGAAAGGTGTTCTAGGAGAAGGGGGGAAAAGGCTGTTGCTCCACTCTTTAGTTTTTGCAACGCCGTATTCTTTGTTCTCTTTATCCATATCTCGAAGCATGAAGCGGTAGAACTCCTCCGTGATGCTTTCTGTGCTAGACTGCTTGGAAAGGCAGGATGAGGTCCTCATGTTAAGGTGGCCATGTCTCTTTGTTGCAGCCTGTTGTACAGCTGCAGTCAAGATGCTGCTGGCATTCTTTCCAGCGTAGTAGTCTAGCAGAAGATCAAAGCCTCTGCCTTCTGTCTCCATCTGGTTTACCATGAACCGAGAGAACTCATCAGTGATGCTCTCGCAGCTGGACTGCTTGGAAATTGAGCTACCACGGCTCAAGTTCTGACCTAACCGACTGCCAGGGCCCAAGGTGTTGAGCGTACCTGAGGGGTCGGTGTCTTCTTCTGGAATGCTCTCATAACTAGAAGCCTTCCCACGACTCCACTTCTCACATTGTAGCCTGCTGCGCTGCTGGCCTGCCTTGGAGGTATCCACCACATTGAGTTCAGGACAGTTCATGATCCTGTTGGTGACTTCTGAGGCAAAGAGGGCAAATGGGTCCTGTGGTTCATCTAGATTAACAGATTCATCCACCACCCGGTTAACCAGCCGCTCCATTAGCTCTGGTTGCTCCTCGGTTTTCCTCTTAATCTCACTGAGGCGGGGGGCTCGATGTTTTCTTGAAGCTGCATTGCTGCTTTGACCATCTTTCCTTCTCAGTACTGCTCGGCAAGCTGGCATTAAATAGTTTTCCGGACATTCCGTAGACATCCCATTTAGGGCACAGAACCAGGGCTGTTTCCCAGTAGAGTTTTCCATACAGATAGCTGCCAGTTCTGTGGCCATAGACACCACTGTAGCAGCTAAATCATCTGCGTAACAAGTGATAGGTGTCCTGGAATCAGTGTCCATCCTTAAAGAAAGCAAAGAGCTGCAGGAGTTGAGAGAGGACTGTGGAGTGAGGGAGGCCTGTCTGGCCCTTCTCTCTGTACTGGGAACTGGGATTTCACTGAAAGGTTCTCTGTTGCTGCTGCTCTGCATCTGATCAGAAGCGTCTTTTTGTATACACTGTCTGTATGATGACTGCTGCTGCTGCTGTTCTTTGAAGTGTGTTGTGAAGGAAGACACACTTAAGTCCCCTTCCTCAAGGATGTGTTTCTGCTTCAGTCCAGGAAGCATGGAAAACTTATCTGTGGAGTGCAACGTGCCACTCAGGTTTTCACAATTAGTGAGATGATTATTGCCAACTAAGCACCTCCACTGACCTAATGGATCTCTGCCTTCCTTTGAACCAGCATGCTTGTAAACCGAAGACTCGCCTTGCTGCGGTTCGCCTGACCCTTGGTCACACGTGGAGATATGACTGATCTTTTTCTGCGTCAGACAAAGAATATCAAACAGCAAGTTGTTTACACTGTCCTGTAGGAAAACCTGGAGGCTGGGAGCATCTTTTCCAGCTCCTTCTAGTTCTTTTTTCTTTTTTGCCTTCTCCAAAGCATGTCTGAATAGGCTGTCTGCCACTTCGTTTATCAAGTCATCCACCTCACTTTCATCCATGCAACATTTCTTTGGACAAGTAATGCCGTCCACTATTTTGTTGTGTGTGGTCTCCAGTAAGTGCGCTACACTCTTGTACCCTTGTGGTTGGCTTAGTACCTCTGCTGCTTCCCTGTGCAGGACCTCAGCTATGTTAGCTCGAAATGCTTCCACGCTTGTAACTTCTGCCACACTACAGTGGAGCGTGAAGGCTGCTGAAGCCTTGGCAGCCGACATCAGAACGTGGGATGCCGCGCAGACCTCAGTGGTGTCAGTTTCGGAACCGCCGCCTTCTGCTGGCTGCTCTGTCAGCTCCACAGCCGCTACTGCTCCAGCTACTTGAGCCATGCCACACATAGCTGAGGAGACACAGTAATCACTCCTCTCCTTTGCCTCCTGCAGCTCCTCTGTGTCGTCCTCTGAAGCAGATTCTAGGGCGATCTTTTCAGTCAACTGTGGCGTAGTGATGGTGCCTATAACACTGGCAGCACAGGCCAACGCCATCTCTACATGTTTGTGCCCTCCACTGTGGTGAGGTGTCTGAGCCTGGTCCCTGTCCTCTGACATTTCTCTGGCTTTGGCAGAGACATTGTAATCATCCACATTAGACACCTGTGTCTCTGGCCAGTCAGCAGCCCCATCAGAAGTGTCAGGGCTTTGAACTATGACAATTTTAGGTAGCTCAAAGGAGCAGGTGCGCTGCTGGGAAGGCTGTTTGGTCCTTAAAGGACTACAGGGAGGACAGCTAGAGACACTGATAGCTGCCTCAGAAACAAAGGAAGTTTCATCTTGAGAGAGTCGTATGAAGGCATCCTGTAACACGGACTCTGCTAGGTTGGTGGCATAGTGACCAGCTGATTCCTTTGTATCAAAACTTGCACTTGGGCTAGAGTTAGGGTAACCTTCTCTTTTTATGTCAGTGTCCTCTCGGCTCTGATGTTGGGCTTGCTGACCCTTCTGAGACACAAATCTGACACAGGGTTTCTGTGCAGCCTCATCTATGCTCTCCTCCGCTTCACCACTTTCTGGCTCTGTGAAGAAGAAGAGCACAAATTAAGAAAGTAAGGGATCATCAAATCCCATCTCCATCAGTGTCTGAAATCTGAGGCATGGATAAAAATACCGTGTACCAATGATAGAGCTGTTTTTGTGCCATGCCATTTTGTTTTGGACAATATTTCAGATCATTCTTTCCATCATACATGTATCAGTGTCACAATGGCAAGAACCATCACCTCCTTTGTGTCATTTATTGTAAATAACACATCTCACCATTTCTTGAACCATCGTCTTCACTCTCATCTCCAAGGTGCTCCGAAGCCGTGAGGAAGTCTTCCTCTATGGATGAGATGGAACGGTTGGTGTCATCATCCACCCTCTGTCCGACTGCTCGGCCCTGCTGAAACTGCCTCTCTTTTCCCCACTGTAAACCAATGAGGAACTTGTTGATGTCACAGATGACGCTGGCAGGTGGCGAGGAACGCCTCTTTTCTGAACACTGAAGCAGACACACGCACGTGTGCTGCCTGCTCTAAAAAAACAAATACATTCCAGACTTAGCCTGTACTCAAAATTAAATGATCAACAAAACAAATCATTGGTCTGTTTTTCAATGTTTCCCACATGTCAGTGGTTTAGTTCATAAAGGACTTTCATCTGTGTTTCTCATGGTGTTTATTGATCCTCAGAGTTGTTTTGGTGAGTTTAAATAATCAACGCAACTAGACAGAAGCAATCATAAAGAAGGAAAGCTCAGTTACCTGCTGTTGTCTTTGCATTCATTCATATTTTCCATAAAGTATCATAAAAATAAAAATGTTTTTATTAAGACATCTATTTTGTCTGTTGTTGAAGGTATAATAGCATTACAGTTTGCCTTTATATCAGTGCAAAATTTGTATTTTTGATGTATGGATGTTTGCATTGGTCTCTAGCATAAATGAATGCCTTGTGAGTCAATCTCTGTGGGGAGAAAGCTCTTGCACTCCTGTTTCATGAACTGAAACAGAACAAAGGGGAGCAGAAGATAACCTGATATTTGGACATCTTGCCTCAGATTGGCTAGCCTGGCCAGCCATGCCACTGCGTTCCTCATGGGAAACAACGGGCCAGTGATCGTTCCTAAACACAGACTGCAATCTCGAGGGGGCCGTGCTTTCTCGGTGCTGGGGCCAAGGCTCTGGAATGATTTACCTACATGTGTTAAACAGGCCACCACGCTCGGCAAGTTTAAGAGCCAGCTGAAAACACACTTTTATTCTTTAGCTTTTATTCAAGAAGAGCCTCATTAACGGATGGCTTTGTACTTTTTTGCTGCCCCACCTAGATTTTATCTACATGTTTTTGTTGGTTTTTAAATGGTTTTATATGTTTCTATTTGTTATGTTTATTTCTGCTGTGCAGCACTTTGTTTGGTCCTTGGGCCATGTGAAGGCGCTATATAAATAAAGTTTAGTTTAGTAGTAGTTGTAACGCGTTCATATAAGTAAAGGTTGGTTTATGTTTGACGCGTCCGCGAGGTCCGCACGGCTCCGCGCGGCGAAATTGCGTCATTTTAACAATCACACCCCTCCACCGCGCCTCCGCACGGCCCAAAATTTCCGCATCGCGCACCTAGGAAATTTTCTAACCAAGCGGACGGTCGGACGTGGAAAAACATGGCGGACTGGCAAGGACTAGTATGGCAGAGGTTCGTAAATACAGACATTTGTATGATTCAGCTCTCAAAGATCACCGTGATCAACATGTTGTTAATAATTCTTGGAGAGAAATAGCTCGCACCGTCAGAAAAGACGAGGACGCTGTTAAAAAATGCTGGAATGCCATGTTGTAAACAACAGTAATTTTTACATCTACTATGGTGTAGTGTTGGATGCATGCCGTAGAGCTCTATGCTGCCCCCTACAGTTTGGGAGAATATTGGCTCACCGCAGAGACAAGCCGCACGAACCATAAACGCTGCGAGTTGTGAAGCGCGTTCCATCCGCGAGCCGCATCACCAAGTGGAAAGTGAATGCGTCAAGCATAAACCAAGCTTAACCCCACCCCCTGGAAATTCTAACCGAGCCAATGAGCGCTGAGCAGCGTACGTCCTACACCGCAACACTCAGTTTCTAATAAACAAGGAAGATGGCGTCTACAGCAGAGTTTGCTGCGGCTGTTTCCTCTGTTCTGAATGACTTGGACGTGTCTTTAAAACCACAACAAGAAGAAGCGCTAAAAGCCTTTCTTCTAAAGATTTCTCCAGACGCCATCTTTGACCCCAGCTAAAAAACTACAGCGTCATGTGATACACTCATTTTTTCGCCTTTTTTCTGACTGGTTATTTCTGAGCTGGCAAGTCCTTCACGGTGCTCTCTGCCTCTGGGTGTCCAGACTCGTCCCCTGTGCAGAATAGACAGAGGGCGAGTCTGGCAGGCCAGGCTACTGATTGGCTAACAGCAACGTGACTCTACCACTGACTCTGTTTGCTTTGCAACGTTGATATTTTATCTCCACAGTAACACAAGCCCACGTTCTTACTAATGCTGACAGTAAGCTTCTACCAGCTGAGACGTGCTCTGCTCTCACCTGGATGTTAAAATAACAACAGCCTTCCCCGTCATGAGCCAAGATGGGTGAAGCCATGAATGTTAATTTTACAATGTAACGTAGAATTAAATGGCTTTTCTAGTCCAAGCTGAAGAGAAGACCGTTTTCACGTTCAACCTGCATGTGAGACTCAGAGTGACCGATCATATTTCAAAAACAAGTTTTTTGATGGAAGTGTCATTCAAAAACCTTTAAAAATGTACAGAATTTGTTATAATTTGTAATACAACAAGAGAAAGTGACTTTCAAAACGTTCAGATCTAATCTCACAGAGTAGCTGTAAAGTAGAGCAGCTAACATTTTAGTCCAGGTCTTTTATTTTAAAAGACAGAAATCAGCAAGAATTTGTAGGTCACTGCACGCTCACCTGCGGGGGGGAGTGTGGGTGTTTTGGGCAAATTTCTGAGGCTTCCAGGCCACCAAGCAGCAGGATCTCATTTTCTTTCGGCTGGTGGATGGTCAGTAATTCAACAAGCTTTGGCAGGTCTGGAGACACAGAAGCCAATTTCTGCAAGAAACATGCCGAGCATAGGGACAACAGTAGGTGATGACGACACGCCTTTGTGGAGCTTCAAAACTAAATGCAATATGTTCTCTGTGACTCAGAGATATACAATTATGGAATCCCTCCTGTGAGAAGTACTGAACCATGTGGATTTGTTATTGATCGCCCACCACTGTTGCCACCAACTGCACAAAGCTATAACATCTGCATATTGTCAGGCTAATCTGCCTGCTAATTCTGGATAATGATATGGAATCCATGGCAACAGGGGTAGGGTGTTTGCACAAAATACAATGAACGGAGTTCCTAGGAGAAGAAAAAGTGGGCAAGGAGGAAAGAAAAAGCAAGTGAGAGGGGAGAGAGGATTGAACACACGATGAGTATGGGTGTGAAATTATCTCACCTTGATGCTTTTCTCATCATGGCAGTCTGTTTTCTGTGGGTCCAGACTTACAAAACAGATCTGAGGGAAAGAAATAAATACTTTGACAAACAGCAAGTAAAAGTGGAGCCGAGATGGTTCCCGGTGTCACGTGTGGCTTACTCGTTTAATCAATACATTTGCAGTGGTCTCTAGTAGGAATTAATGCCTTTCAGGTCGCACTCAGGGCACAAAAGAGCCCACAAACCCCTGTCTCTGCAGGGCCAAGTCTGCCACATCTCAGCCGAGCTTCAGACGACAGGATTAGCAGTTTTATTTCCTGATATTTGGACATCTCGCCCTGGATTGGATAACAGTAATGTGACTCTACTACTTACTTGCAACGTGGGTGTTTTATCTCCACAAATAACGCAAGCCTGGAGCAGCTTCTGCCTTGAGGTGAAGTTGCTAATGCTAACGGTTAGCTTAAACTAGTCGCTGCTGCTGATTACCGGACACTGAACCACCTACAGCCTTCGCCGTCGTGAGTCAAGATCGGCAGCCCATGATCGCTAATTCATAGTGTGACGTAGATCTAAGGAATTTCAAACCCTAGAGTTTGATTGTCTATGTTGTCTTAAAGAAGCAGGAGATAGATGTAGGAGACTATTTTCAGGTTCAGCCTGCATGAAAAACTCAGAGTGGCCAATTATAATCAGAAAAAACAGTTAAAAATGGTTTTCCAGTCACCTACATCTTTACCAGTAAAATCAATGCATCACCTCATCAGAAGCTATGTCATGATATGGGGAAGGTGTCTAACCCAACACAGAATCAGACTGCACACAGATCGATGAGGAGAAAAATAATATTTTATTGTTGGATGAATGATAACTAAAGGTGCACGGGAAAATCCAGCGGATGAGGAACGGGAAGGCAGCGTCTAGAGGGAAGAGCAAACCAGAGGTGAGTCCTGGGAGATTGAGTCCAACAGAGAATGCTGAGTGGTGACTTATGGAGGGAGAAGGTTCTAGGAGAGTGAGGGGAGGTAGTGAGCCGGGGTGTTATCCAAGAGGGGCGTTTGGAGCTGGAGAGGGAGCGAGGAGTCGATGGAGAGCGGGTCGGTCAGGACGGGTGAATGGATGAACGTAGAAGGCGAGCCGGTGCAGAGTCCTATGGAGTCTGGTTGAAGGATCCTGAGGCATAGGAAGACCTGAGGTAGGTGAGCCAAAAAACATCCAAAAATTACATGAAGTCCAAATATTCACACTATAGTACCAGAAAAACCTGGAAACAAGTACTAGGGCTGGAAACTACCAGTCAGTAGCAATCATCTGGCGTCGAGTAGTGTTCATCATCCTCCTTATGAAGCTGACCCGCTGATTACCTGACAAGGAGCAGCTGCCGCTCCCTCTCCTGCAACCAAAACACTCAGAGATGTTGAGAAGGAAGAGCACTCACCCCGGCTCATGACAAGCTATTTCTTTGACCCTGATCCCACCAGCCAGGCAAAACCATCAAGCAGTAGTGAAATAACCACAATGTTTCTCCTACGTTTTTAGGTCTGTCTTTGCTTCTTCACAGTGCATCTGTTTACCTCTCCCCCGCGGCCACACACACCTTTGCTTCAGCCTGCAGGTTTAATGGTCTGTGATGGAGTCTTACTCCTCTGATGGAGTGCCAGTGCTGGGAGTTAGGGGCTCTCAAACGGCTGCTGTTTGAATTCACAGCTGAAGTAAGACGGGATAGGAGAAGTTAGTCCTGTGTGGCCTCAGAAAAAAGCACAGACAGCGCATGAGGAGGGTGCGAATGAACGCAGCTCTCACCTCAGCAGCCATTTTCAGCATGTGTGTGCAAGATACCATGACAGGTTTTCAGGAAAAGAGATATTTGTGTCTCAGTCAGGAATGCAAACATCTAGAACATGCTTCACCGACTGGGTGTCTGTCCTGATCAAACCAAGGCACAGTGTGAGTGACAGAGACAGTTGCACCCTTTTAATGCAAAACACACACAGGAGGGATCTTGCTGCATATTTTAAACCTTCGTTACCTGCTGTGAAACCATTAAAAATGTGTAATTTCCAAACACATCTGAATGTTAAAACTGCATTTGTTGGATGTAATTGTGTTAAACTTTATTTTAAATCTGTGTTTATATTACCAGATATTCTGTTTCCCAGAAAGACTTCCTGTCTTCCTGGGCTGTATTAATTTTCGAATGGGCAGGTTTTTGATGAAAGTACTAATCCTGCAAGGGAGAAAGAGCTCCTAGAAATTTATAAATAGATCTATCAAAAGTGAGACAACTGGTAAATTTGGGTTTATTGTGTCTGCATTTGTTCACACTTTATTTTCAATTTTAATCAACATGTCATCCCATCTGTCACGTGCTGAGTATTTAATTGTTTTACTGTCTGTAGTTACACCTTAGCTTTGTAGATCCCCACCTAAAAAGATTTCAAATGCCTCTCACAACGAGAACAGACCTAGAGATCTCATTTTAACAAAGTGGATTTACTTTAGCCTATTAGCATTTGCTGCCTTTGTTTTGTACTGTATAAGAAGTCTACAAAGTTTCTCTTCGTCATGTCCCTCTACCATCCAAACAGGAGGTTTGTTCTGGAGCATCTCAGCAGTATTTACATGCTGCCACTGGAAACCACCCAAGGAAAAGCAGCGACAACACCTTCTGCCTGCCTGCCAACACATCGCCTGTGCACAACAAGCAGGCAAAGATAATCGAGTGACCCTTTCTGACCTTGAAACGGGTTGAAGCAATTTGACCCCATCAGACGGCAAGAGCCAAGAGGCAGCTGCTCTACATTTGGGAAGCAGAGGACTATCTAGGCAACGGATGGTGACACGAGCCCGGGACACGCTCTGATTCCATCAGCTTTACCAGAAAGACATTAGACAATGTGTCAACCTGTGTCTGAAGGAGTGACCACGTAAACACCAGCTGAAGGAGGGAAAAGGCCAGACGGGAAACAGCGAGAGGATAGGTGAACGTATTAGTCTTGTGTGATGCATTAATGCTTTGGAATCTGTAGAGCTATGGAGATTATCCAAAGATCAAAGAAGAAACTGTCTTATTTGCTGCAGATGAATATAGAAGCTCCACATCGAAAAACTGGGAAACTGATGGCATGGAAATGTTAGCATGATATATGTTAATACAAAAGAAACCATTTGGTGAAAAAAGACTTCCATCTCCCACTTGCAGTCTGCATAATTTTGACTGAGCCTGTTTGGCTTGACTTTGATTTGTATTCATGCAAATAATGTGTGGAGCTCAAACACAGCAATGATCAGAAGAATTAAACCAACTGATGATTAATACACGTTCACAAAACTTCTGCTTTTTAAAAATACGTCACATAGAGAGAAAGTTTTATCAAAAATTATTCACAGTATGAACATTCTTGGTTTCTCACAGAGGCCACAGCAAACATGTTTCCTACTTGCTCAATAAGAAACTATTCCTGACCACATTATTTCTGTAACTATTTCAACTAAAGTTCTTTTTTTTTTTTGACTTTATAAAGTTTAAAAAGATCAGAAATAGAGAAAATTCCTCCTGTGAGTTGGTTATTGTCTGCTCACGGTAACAAGCTTTAGTTCAGACCTGAGCAGCGGCTTTTCTTTGTCAGATATCTCAGATTTAATGTTTATTTTGATCTTTGACAGTATTTAGGTCAGCAGGCGTGAAAGCTGCTGGAAAAGCTTCTGATGTCGCTCATTGTCAGGCTGCGTTTAGAGGCTTTCTGCGGTTCTCATAGCCACCATCTCCTCCTGTTGAGCTTCATTACTGACGGCCAGGGCTGGACTGGGACAAAAATTCAGCCCGGGCATTTTGACTGGAGACCGGCCCATGTTTTTTTTGGAAAAGACATTAAGCCTTACGCTGTTTCTGACACACACCAACGTACACTTTCTTATTGGTAGTATTTATGTATCAATCTAATAAACGTAAACCTACACCATCCTTCCTATCCTGGTATTCTAAAAAAGTAGGGTTGGGGGTAAATGATTATTTTTAAAATGATTATTCTGACGATTATTTTATCGAATAGTCGACTATTCTAATGACTATTTAGATGATTAATCTAGCGATTACTTTTCTATTGCACAATTAATAAAAACCAAAAAATTCTCAAATAAATTCCTCCAAAAATTGATAAGTTGTTACTGTAAGAGAATAAACACTACAGGCCTTCCATTTTGTATAACACTGCTTTTATTGTGTTGCGGTTGTTTATGTTCTGGTGACGTGTAGAACTTGGGAGTGCAGGCTGCTGCCTGAGAGGTGGTTGGAGACGGAGTGTCTCCATGCTGCTTTGATTTGTTCACTTATGTGCGTGAGGCAAGTGGTGTTACGACCCTTCCTGGGGAGTCACGTGTTTCTCCTATTTTAACTGTAAATCCTTCTTGCTGTTATATTTATAACAAGAAACAGATATTCGGACAGAATATTTTCATGTTTATTCGAATATGATTGTGGAACACACCCAGCATCATAATAAATGAAGTAATATTTATGCCAATTTAAGCCTTTATGGGTGACCAGGACTCTGTGATCAATTTTTGGCAAGGAAAATTATCATTTGTTGCCATTTTTTAGGTGTTTATGAATGTGGAAGACACCCAGCATCCTGTGATGGCACTAATAACATCAAGAGATAATAAATAAGGTAATATTTAGGTCAATTTAACCCTTTACACGTGACCAGGACACTGTAATCAATTTTTGGCAAGGGAAATGATCATTTGTTGCCATTTTTGAAGTGTTTATGAATGTGAAAGACACCCAGCGTCCTGTGATGGCACTAATAACATCAAGAGATAATAAATAAAGTAATATTTAGGTAAATGTAACCCTTTACACGTGACCAGGACACTGTAATCAATTTTTGGCAAGGGAAATTATCTTCTTTTTTTTTCTTTTTTTTTTGTTGCCATTTTTGGGGTGTTTTTGATGACACAGTAGGCAGTATGAGTACAGTAACATCAACAGATAATACATAAAACCCTTATTTGGTCAATTTTAGCCTCCATGAAAATCTTAGCGATTCAATCACTTTTTGGCAAGTAAAATGCCAT